GCCACCTCCATTGAAGACCCTCACAGACATTGCCAGAAGGGCAGGGCGGGGCAAGGCTAGGCACCTGGTTGTATGCCCTCTTGAGCCATTATGCCCCAGGGCTGTGCAGTCAAAGCCAGGGGCTTCCCTTACCTCTTGATAGTCAACAGCTATAACCGAGATTCAACAGAGAATATACACTTGACCACACTGGACACTGGGCACAGAAGATCAACAGACTAATAAATCTTGGTGGCTTTTCCTAGGAAACTTTCAAGAATTTTGGTATTAGCTATGGAAATGGGAAGATAATCTTAGGATTTATCTTGAAATGATATATAAACGCTCATTCTTTGGATGTAGTGATGTAAAATGTATGGTTAGGACTAACACATACTGATTGTTTTGTAAAACAGGCAGGCCCTTCATAGATGGATTAACCTTCCCCAGGGCTATGAAATGTTGCCTCTGCATTTCAGGGAAGGAAACAGAGGTTATGGAATGTCAGTGCCTTGTTCAAGACAGAGAGGACACTAGAAGATCCCACATATCCCTTCTCTGAGGACATCTCAATCTCATCTTAAAGAGCCATGCATTGTGGATAAAGGAAGAACATGAAAGTTCAGGAGAAAAGCCAGGCGAGGTCTTAGCTAACGCAAGTATTTACCAAAGCTGTGTGTCATGTTTATAGTATTTTTTTTTTTAAGTTCCAAGGTTAAGTCAGGAAATGAAAAGAACGGTGTCTTTTCTGCTGGATTTTTCCTGTCCTTTAATATTGGGGTACTGGATTAGAAGTCGTCAAGGGGAGAAAATGTAAAGAGCAAATATTTTAATCTTGTTTCTTGGATATACTTCAGGGAAAAAAAGGGGCACTAAAGCGTCATGCTCTTAAGATCACATTCAAGCGACAGATAAACAAGTTTTATGGGTCTTCTTGGGAAGAGATCCATTTAATGGATCTCAACACCATTTAATGGCTCCTCAAACACCAAGTGGACCTCAGGGTCATTGGACATTGTCCCTTGAAGAGATGGCAGCGTCTGGCTCCTCAAGAGAACCAGGACTGGACACCAGGGGGAAGAGCAGGGAGCACCTGGGGGCCTTCAACTATGTCTTCCATCCTGCCCCCCATTCTCCCCTTGACTTCTGAGGGCTTCTCCCTAGTCCAGTCAGGCTGTGCTGTGTTCCTTCCACTTAAAAGCTCACTGCACCCTCATGGGACCATGAGCAGAAAAGATGCTCAAGGAGAACTTTCTAGAACTGGCTGGGACCTGAAGGCCTTGTGAAGAACCACACAGCTCAGCTGTCTACTGCTAAGATCCAAGGCTCCTGACTTTCAATCGCTAGGGATGTTCCTGCTTCTCATTTGAAAAGTGAGTGCTTTCAATACATAAAGACCAGAATGTAATGAACGGGTACAGTCTTGGATGGTTTGCTGTTGGATCCCCTGAACCCAAGTTAGAGCCTGGCGCCTAGTGTGTGCAGACATCTGCTGGTTAATGAAGGATGGGCACTCCAGATCATGCTGTCACGAGTATTTATTGACATTTCTTAAAGCTTGTCTTGACTCCAAGGTTAAGTTTTAAAGGAGTGAAAAAAGCAGCCAGACTCGGCAATGACCGTGGCTGTGCTTGGACCCGTTTTATTTCATTTCTAACAGCTTCATCCCTTTTTAGCAGAAAACGGCATAAAAGAACTGGTGGGTGGGGCTGACAGTGATTTGAAAATGACAGCTTTCCAACTGTTTTAAAATGAATGGCTTTCGGAGTGTTGTTGTTCTTTTCATAAGACAGGCAGTAGGACAGTTGACACGGTTTCATAAGATGGCCCGTACCCCCCTTTAAAAATCAACCTTTATTACCACACCTGAAAACAACAAGAAGCAACAACTCATCTTTGGACAGACCACATTCGTTAGTGAAATGTGGATTTGCTAGCATTTTCCACCTCAATCAAAACACTTTTAATAGCTATTTCTGGGTAGACATTACCCAATATTATCTTTCTAAGACATTCAACAAACGTACTCAAGTATCAACAGATTCAATTGCATAGCACCATTCCAAAATACTAAACTTTCTTTGCACCTTTGTTTTTAACTTCTTTGTATACATTTAGAGTATGGGCATCCTGCAAAATTCTGAAAAGCCTCATTGGAAAAACAAACGAAACCAACTAGTTTTTATGACACAGCAGTAACCTGGTTTGTCAACATGTTGATCTCAAGCCGGCTAAAATGTTGGGCTGGCTGGGCTCCTGAAAGTCTTGATCCTGGGTGGGGGGCTGAAAGGGTGCCAAGGTCTTCCTGAATACTAGGGTCACGATGACGACGGCCTTGGTAACAACTTCACATTTTTGCTTAAAAAAAAGTGAAAATGGGGGATTCGAGCCTTTTGGTCTGTACATACCTTTTATTTACTCTCTGTAAGCAAGATTAGAGTCCTAGTGAATTTAACACTTCTCTATACTTTAAGTTCAGTGAGCCGGAGTCTGTCCCTTGCAAGTAGATGTATTTAAAGTCAAATTTTAAACAGGTTTCTAATTCGGTATGTATTTGGCTGCCTGTTACATAAGGCGCCTATCTGCGTTAAGTAATGTGGAGCAGAGGATGAGGCTGCCTGCAGAAAAATACTTACCCTTTTATGACACGAGTCACAGCTCAGGGTCTGATTAGAAATCAGAATTGTGTGTTCCTAACTCTGCCGTGTATAACATTAGCCAGGAGGACAGGTGTTCAGATAGGACTGGCTGTTTCTGGGGTATCCTGTGATTGGGGTGTGTGGTGAGGAAGAGCCCAACAAGGGTGTCCACGATCAGAATTATATAGCAGTTTCACAGAAAAATGATTGTTCCACGGTTAACAGTCTGACCCAGGAAGAAAAAAAAGTTTAAAATCGAGGTGAATGGCAGGGACTGTGCCCCAACTGGGAAGGGCTCTGAGAATATGAATATGCCCTCAGAGAGAATGACCTTGAACTCTGTACATCACATACAGTAAAACACAGCATTCTGTTGTTCTTGAACATTGCACAATAAATACCATACAAGGGGGAGGAAACAAACAAAGAGCAAAATAACTTGCAAAGAAATAACTTGGTACAAAAAAGGGGCATGGTCTAAGTGCAGCTTTGATTCAGTAGCGATGGGGTGAAGGAGAAGCAGGACCAAACAGCCTAACGCTGTGTGGAGACAGGTGGTCAAAGGCCCCCCTCCAGGAGAGTCTGAAATAATTGCCTCTCAATGTCGCTGGAGTTCATTGCTTCAAAGGAAGACTCATTAGCTAAATAATTTGGAAAACAAAACCCAACAACAACAACAAAAAAACAACCCAAAACCAAAAACCAAACTTTTGCTCCATGTACGAAAGTAGGTAACCTGTACGGGTGGGTCCCTTCAATTTTGGGGTCTCATGATGAGCGATTACTGGCCTGCCTCCCCTCGTCCTCGTCAAGAACTCCGATCCTGTGGAACCACCTCCAGGAATCTACAACAGTACTCAAGAACACCCATCACAGTGCTTAACAAGATTTAATGTACATTTATTCTTAACATGTGGAACATATAAAGATTTTATACTGAATAAATGATATTCATTAAGCCAGAGGAAAAGGAGGAATTTACATCAAGTTTTTTGTCTTTTTTTTGTTTTTGTCTTTTTTTTAAACTACATTATCTTGAAATACAAACGTGGATTTTCATCACTGAAAAATCTCTGAAGCTGTGTTTCTTCCTTTTAGTTGTTCTGTCTCTCTCTCTTTTTTTTGTCTGTATTGATAACCATTTCCTAAATCAATCCATGGCAACAATGTGCACACCTTCATGAAGTGATGATGGGCTGCTGTCTGCAGGCAGCACGGAGCATGGAGCATGACTTTATACATACGGAAACTTGTACATTACCCTCCCTCTCTCTCTTTTTTTTTTGTCTGTTTTCAGGTTTGTTTATTTTTTTTAGTTTTCTTTTCTTTCTTTTTAAATTTTTTTCTTTCTCTCTCTCTCTCTTTTTTTTTTGAGATATGGCCTTAATGAAAAAATATATAAAATAAAAATAAAAAATTATTTAAATCTACCATCACTTTGGAGTAACCACATCATGAAAAAGAAACTAAAAACTCTGTACTAAAAAAAAAAAAGAAAAGAAAAAAAATGAGGGTATGTTTAATGTACAACTTCTATATACATCACAGCCCACAGGCAGTAAAAATTTAAAAAAAAAAAATAAAAACAATGAAAGGAATCGTGAAGAACTGTCGTGTGAAGGAAGGCCAGCAGCGGACAGGCGCAGACACGACTGCGGGGGTGAGGAAGAAGTTTGTGTTGATCGCTGTTAAGTGGGTGTTTGCAATTCTAACCTAGGAAACACCATGTTTGCTCCTAGCCCTACTGTCACCATATTCCTGGAGAAACCAGCATCATTTCATTCCTAGGCTGACACACCTCTTGGAGCCTCAGTCTCTCTCTAGAGGTTTCTATTGCACTGAACTTTGGGTGATGGGATACAGGTGGTTGTTTATTATTTTTGTTTTTCCTGATCTGAAAAATAAAGCACATAGGAAATCAATCATCTTCCACCCTTTTTAAACTCTTTGTGGCAACATGTTTCCATCTTTGCACGTGTTGTTATTTTTTTTCCCCCTCTAGAGTCAATTTGCTTCCCCAAAAAATAAGCAACATGACATGGAAAAAGGCTTTCGGGGGGGGAAAAAAAAATCAAACCAACCCCAAAACAACAAACAAAAACATCTATGAAAAACAAAAATGACCTTTGAATGCACTAGACGGCAACTTTGGTAAAAAAAAAAAAAAAAATTAATAGGATGTACTTATACACACAGACAGCAAATATGAATTTTTGTAACTGTTCAAATGAATTCTTTCTTTAATTCCCAATTGGTAAATAGTGAATGGGGCAGAGGAGCAAAGGTTTCCTTCTTCCTACGCTGGATAGACAAGAACAGAAAACAGCCAGGCCTACGTGTCCCCCTAGTCTTCACACACACATGCTTGCCTCCCCACTGGTGTCATAACTGCCCGATCTGAAACAGTACATCACAGACGACCGACGCCACCAGAGAGTTCAGGACCGTGGAGATGGAGATGTCCAGCAGCCGGCCCTCGTGCAAGAGGAACTCGGAGCGGTTCTCGTCCACGCGGGCCATGGCCAGCAAGGCCTTGGCTGCCCTGCACATCATGTCCACGCTGGGTGGCTCCAGCGGGGGTGTCTGCATGTGCATCAAGCTGTGCTGGCTCTGCTGGTACTGGGCCATCGTGACCCCGTCCTCCAGAAAGCTTATCAAGTTTCCGATGCTGCCCTTCTGCACAGCAATGGCCCTTGCGGCCAGTGCATCCCCTTGGGCGAGGTTCGATAAGAGCGCCATGGACATTTCTCGACAGACCGGGTTCTTGCGGTCCCCAACGTACCTAACTAACGTAGCATAGAATTTCTCCTGGCGACTGAAGGGCGGCGTGGCCAGGATGAGGTCCACGTTGTTGTCCTGGATGCTGAGCTTACAGAGGGTCTCCAGCACAAGTCTCTGAGGCGACAGGACCGAGTTGGGCCCCACGGTGGGGAAGGGGTCTTGGGCCTCCGCCGACGGGCACACCATCCAGTGCAGCAAGCCATCCAGGATGGGCAGGCAGATGCTTTCCGTGTACGCCGACAAGTCTAGCTGCCCGGAGATGTTGGCCAGCGTGACCAGCGTGTTGTCCCTCAGCACCTCGAGGCAGTCCCACCACCACTCGTCCTTGCTGCAGGCCACTCCCCCCTTGTCCTCGTCCTCCTCCTTCTCGTAGGTCTGCGGGGCCCGCTTCCGCTCGGGGTGCTCGTGGTGGAGCAGAATCAGCTTGCCCAGGATCAGCACCAAGCCCGGATGCTTGGACATCTCGGCGTCGTTGCCAGGCACGAAGGACAAGCTCCGGACGATGTTGGACACGCAGATGCAGCGCTTGGCCAGCGAGTCCTGCCAGTGCGCGATGGTGCACAGTGGCGTCTCGTCACGGCTCCGCGGCTCGTCTTCCAGGAGCCGGATGTGCCGGTGGCTCTTGGCCTGATGGATGCCGAAGGGGAACTTGCCACTGTCCGCCGGGGCGCCCGGGTGTGCGTCGTCGGGCAGCGCGCCCGGCCGCGCCGACAGCACGTCGTCGATGGTGGCGATGATGCCCTTGTCCTGCGGCTCCTCGTCGGCCCGGCCGTTGGGCTCCCGCTTCCTCCCGGCCGGGCCGGGCGGTGGTGGCCGGCGGCGGGGCGGGATCTCCATCTTGCTCTCGAAGTGCGTCTGGATGTGCTCGGTGGTGTCGCCGCCGCCCAGCTGCCAGTGCAGGAGGCCGCTGGTGAACTCCTGCACGCGGCCGAGCCGGGCCGAGCGGTCCACCACGAACAGGTTGTTCTTCTTGACGATCTTTATGGGCAGCTTGTCAAACTTGCTGGCCTGCTTGGGCTTCTCCTTGGGGACGGCGGGGGCGTCCGGAGGGGTGGAAGGTGTGCTGCTCTCGGCCTCCGTCTTCTCCCCGTCCTCCTCCTCGTCCTCCTCTTCCTCTTCATCCTCCTCGTCCTCGCAGTCTGCATCCTCCTCCTCCTCCTCTTCCTCCTCTCTGCCGGACTCGTCCGAGCCGGACTCGTCCTCTCTCCTCGCTGCCCTCTGATTGAGTGCCTTCTGGCTGGGGTCTCCCACTTCGTACTCCATGAGGATCCCAAAGATGTCGATGAGGCATTTTCTAAAATATTCTACCAAGAGCTCGAGAAATCCAGACAACTGAAGGGGAGAACAAGAGGAGAGAGGTGTCACCCGAGGGGATCACGGAGGGAGTCCCGACGGCCAGCCCAACACTTACCTTCACCTGTGCTCCAGTCCTGCAGGGCGCGGCCACACAAGCTAAGGGACATGTTATTAGAAGGGACTCACTGTGTGTCACATTCCTGCCTAGACCAGCACTCACCACTTTCTCCCTGTTGGCTGGATGGCACGGTGGGTTAAGGATTAGGCTGCCATCTAATCAGGGGTGTGAGCCCACCAGTCATCCCATGGCAGGAAGCCATGGTACTGTGCTGGCATAAACGTGACCGCCATGCCTGATGGGGCACTTCTACAGTGTCCTATGGGGTCATGAAGAGTCACAACTGACTCGGTGGCAGGGAGCAGGGTTGCCAACACAAAGGTAGGCGGTTCATATTCACTAGCTGCTGAAAGAGAGCAAAAATGGGCATTTTCTGCTTGTGGACTCGACAGCTTCTGGAAGCCCACTTGAGGCTGAGCTCCAAGTTGGTTCCGACTCGACGGCACCTAACACTACCCTCAGGGAGCTCTGGTGAGCTGCTCATCAGGCACCCAAAGGTGGTGCTTTCTGGTTGTTCAAATCCACCGGCTGCTTCCTGGGAGAAAAAGAGGCAATCTCCTTTGTCTGATTTACAGCCTCAGAAGATCTGCTGGAGGGTAAACTATGAGCTGGTCCCTACCTGATGGCAATGGGAATAAGAATGAATGATGTTACCGACATGCAAACCCGTATTTTCCAGCACAACTTTAAAAAACTGGGACCTGTCAGGGAAAGGGAATGCAAATGTTTTCAATTACAAGGGGAGACAGAAAAGCGTAAGAGTGTGTCCATCAGAGGTGGAAGGCCTGTGCGTCCCAGCCCTCCCAGGCTGCGCTGCGTTTACTTCTGATGTTAGGAATCAGGGCGTGTGGGCTGTCTTGAAGCTGCCTTTTCTGAGTCAGACACAGCAGGCTCCTTAGAAGAGCTGGGGGTGAGGATCTTACAGACTCATCCACTCAAAGTGATTCCTGTCTCTTATTTATCTGGCACTTGGCTGCCAGGATTTTTATGGTTATTATTCTTGGCATTTATTTGACAGTTGTTCTTGTCTCAGGTGCCAGAGGTTAACCTAATTTATGTTCTCTGTATATACTTTAGAGGAGATAATTTTGGCAATGTATTAGCTCATAAACACAGAAAATCTACAAATAAGTCAATTTAGCCCCTAATAAATGAACCTGAATGTCTGACAGGAGGCACTTTTTCACCTCAAGTGCGGCTCCAGTTGAGACACAAAAGTCATGAACAGAGAACCACTGCCTCTGACAATCAGTTTTATTTCGGGAAGGAAAGGTCTGTATCTAGATGAAGATAATCGTCTTCATGATCAGCAACTATCCAGGCCCTTCCCCAAGACAAACGCCCCACGTGGAGGGAGGAGGAAGACCAAGGAATGAAGGGGCTGTTTACTGGAAGGTGCACAGAAATCAGCAAAGCACTTAGAGCCCATTGTCAGTCTTCAAAGCGGGCTGAAATACAGGCATTCTCTGTTTTATTGTGCTTTTACAAACTGAAGGCTCGTGGCAACCTTGCATCAAGCACATTTATCGGGAACCTGTGCTCACTTCGTGTCTGTGTTCCATTCTGGTGAGTAACAGTACAAACTCTTTCAAAATGCTTGTGCAGACGACAGGATAATGTAAACACAACTTTCACAGTCATTGGGAAACCAAAAAAAAATTGCATGATGTGCTTTAGCGTAACTCTCATTTTATTAAGTGGTTGGGAACTGAATCCACAGTATCTCTGAGGTATGCCTATTCTCCTTACGAAGTAGAGGAAACACCTTCAGTAACCTACTCACATCAGCTTGCTTTGACTCATGTTGTTAAGTGCAGTTGAGCCAAGTATAACTCACAGCAACTATATGAACAGATTTGAATTATGCTTTATCTTGTGCCATCCTTATCATCTTCAACACGAGTCCATTGCCAAAGACACTGTATCTCTCTCTCTTCCATCTATCACTTATCTATCTATCTATCTTCCATCATCTATCTATCTAATCATCTGTCTGTCTTCCATCATCTATCTGTCTGTCTGTCTTCCATCATCTATCTATTTATCTATCTAATCATCTGTCTGTCTGTCTTCCATCATCTATCTGTCTTCCATCATCCATCCATCCATCCATCCATCCATCCACCTAATCATGTCTGTCTTCTATCATCTGTCTGTCTTCCATCATCTATCTATCTGTCTGTCTGTCTTCCATCATGTATCTGTCTTCCATCTATCTATCTATCTATCTATCTATCTATCTATCTATCTATCTATCTATCTTTCTATCTTTCTATCTAACTATCTTAGTTGAGGGTCTTCTCCTCCTTCTCTGACCTTTCCAAGGAATATCCTCTCCTAACAACATATCCAAAAAACGTGAGATGAAGCTTTAACATCTTTGCCTCTAAGAAACATTCTAGCTGTACTTTCTCCATGACATATCTGTTTGTTCTTTGTTCTTTTGACTGTCCATGGGATATTTAGCCCTCTTTTCCAACACCACAGCTCAAATGTACCAATTCTTCTCCTATCGTCTTTAGTCACGGTCCAGCTTTCAGATGCATAGCAGGCTGAAGGGAAAGGCTTGAATCAGGCAACCCTTAGCTTTTAAACAATGCCTCATCGAAATATTTTCTCTTTAGGACTTGACAATGGATTTCTGCAAGGCTGTATGCTTCCAATCTCGTCTGCAGGTAGCATGGGTGCTGACTGTGGATTCAATCAAGATGAAACTGCTGACAATTCCAATCTTTTCTCCATCATGTTGTTGCCTATTGGCCCAGAGGTGAGGATTTTTTCCTTTTCTTGATATCCTGATGTTGAGATAATCCGAATCATAGTGACACCAGGTTTCTGAGGTTGTAAATCTTTATAGGGAGGTGATCCCCCATCTTTCTCCCTTTAAGTAGCTAGGGGACTCGAACTGTAGACATTTCAGTTAGCAGCACACCACTTAACACACTATGCCACCAGGGACTACCAAGGATCAACTCTTATAAGAAGTACTTGGACACTGAAGGTGTTATTTCTCAAAAGGGCATTTGATTGTCTTCCCCTCAGCTGTCCCAAAAGTTTACTTTTCCCCAGGAAACGGAGACGCTGGCAACGCAGTTGGGATTATGACAATGTGAACTCTCCTGCTCGAGGAGGAAGTTAATTACTTCAGCGGAGGCAGAATAAATTTATCCAGTCCTTACTTTCCATTAACACAGGCTTCATGCAATGTTTATGACCTTATTAATACACTTCCTAGCAACTGAAAAATTGCCTTTCAGGGCTACGGTGAGGACTTAAATGAGAAAAGAAACAGGAAATAAACGGGAGATTCAGAGCTCATTTCCACAAAAGCAGGGAAATTAGCTTTCCTGCCCCACGCGCCCCAAGGCCAAGAGTTAGTCATAAACAGGGGGGACATGCCCTTTCTCATTCTGTTTTTAAACATCTCCTAGAAGTCTGCAGCCCAGCTGACTGGGGCTTTTCCCCATCTCACTTTCTTTTCTCTAGTGATTATTCCCAAGCTAGGTTAAGCCCAGTTCTGAACAAAGGTGGGTTAAGTGTATTCAAAAGCACTTGGCTTTTCAATCATCTGTAGACAGAGCGGGTCTGGACCCACAGGTGTGACTACCTTAGCTGGCTGGTGACACTGAGGACTATTTTATCCGGATGATAAGTCCAGATGAGGGGGTGCACTGTTCTGCTTTTAAGCATTTTCCATAACATGAAACAGGCTTTCCATATTTTAAGTTTCTTTTTCATTAGAATAAGGATATCTCATGACCCTATAAAGCAGATTAATGTCCCTCTGTAACCTACTTCATTTGAAACACTGCTTATGGCCACAGCTTCGTACCATTCGGATTAATTCTTGCCAGCCTGCCAATCTTCATGACTGAACAAACATCTAATCGTACCACTATCACCACTTGCCATCTGGACATACACCGGGTCACTGTTTTATGAGAAAACAACAGACCAGACATAGAAGCATCTATGTATCTATGCTCAAGACTGAAGTTCATTCCATCTGAGACTAACTTTTCCAGGTATCCGCCGGCTGCTGGTTTACGACGACTATTCAATACAGCGGTGAGGACTGAGGTGGGCACGGGTGCACGTGGCACACACAAGCTTCTTCCCTAATGTCCTTCTTTGGTCCCGACCTGGGTGGAGGAGGGTCCACTCACCTGGGAGAGATTGAAGGTCGCAACAGTGCTGTCATCGTACAGGAGGATGTTAATGGTGTCCAGAGCCCACGTGCTTTCAGCCAAGAGACCTGATTTAAGGGACATCATCACACGCCACGCCTCAGGAGTTACTGGAAACGGCAAACAAAGTGAGGATACGGTTAATACTGACTCGAAGAGTGAAAGACCAGAAAATGACGGAAAGCGCAAAAATCCTGGAGCGCCGAGCTGCGTGAAATACTGATTTTAAGCATGTTCTGTGGCTTCGGTGGGAGCCTTTCAGACTCTTCCATGGTGGCAACAGAAACAGAAGCTGTACCACAAGCTTCAGCGGTCAGAATCTTGACTTACCTGGTTAAACATGAACCCAAAGAGCTGCTCGAATGTCTGTCAAGTCAGAACTGACCCCTATCTGACCCTCCAGCAGGTTTTCAGAAGCAGTAAATCACACAGGAAGAGACTGTTGATCCTCCTCCCGCGGAGCAGCTGGTGGATTCGAACTGCGTGCCTTCAGGTTGGCAGCAACAGCTCCTTACCACTAGGCCACCAGAGCTCCCTGCTAGAAGTAGTTAGACACAGACAGTCCTTTCTCATCTCAGTTTATTTACATTTGGCACCTACTGGAGGTTGAGCTCTTGTTCATAAGGTTATTATGAATCAGACTCGACTCAATGGCACCTAAAAACAACGGAAATTTTTAATAATGGGGTCAAATCAGACAATGGTATCATGTTCGCTGCCTTCTCCACTCAGAAACACCTTGAGGGTTGTCTCGGAGGGCTGGTAAATAAGGAGAACCAAAGCAAAGCTTAACACCCTAAAGGCACGTCCCCACAAGGACTGCTCTAGACTCTCTGAGCGGCTCCCCTCCCTGCGCTTGCCCAGAACATAATGTGGAGGAACGACAGCAACTTGGCAAACCAGGCTTTTCAGGATCTTAGGAAACGGAAGGGCTTTCCCCGGACCGCACAGTCCCAGTTCTGGTGAAAATAAAGTGGGAAATGAGACGTTTTTAAGGTATTCCTAAGACAGAGCTGGGAGGGGAGTCTCATCACCTGAGTGTTTAGCTGCTGGTGGCACCAGAAGGCTGGCAGAAGCCCAGGGAGACATCAGCTGGGCAGAGCAGGGCCTGCCAACCCCAGCCAGCAGAGCCACAGCCAATGGACTTCACACAGGTGGACCAGAGGGCCAGCCCAGAACGGGACATATTTTCCAAATTTTCTAAGAAAGGAATCATTACTTTCATAATACAAAAGTCATCTTCCTTTTCAAAACAAGGAACACACTTTTCTTTGTGTTTATGCTAAGTTATTGTTCTATTGGATACTAAGAAATTAACTTTAAGATAAACAAGCTCACAGATACACTGATAGAGTGGGGTTTAGGGCTGCGGTACAGGGGGCCACTACGAGCTGCAGGCAACTTGACGGCACATAACAACAACATTATATAATAGGGAGAAGTGGTGTATTTTTCTATGACCATGTCTATATTTAGCTATGTGCCAATGCAGACACCTCTCTTTATGTGTCCATGTATGTCTACAGACATCCACATATATGTGCTTGGTGCTGTGGAGTTGACGCCAACTCATAGCAACCCTAAGTCTCATTGTAGGTAGGCGGTTCGAATCCACCAGCTGCTCCTCAGGAGAACGATCGGAAATCTCCTCTCATGCTATTTACTGAAAACCCACTGGACAGTCAGTTCAGGGTAGGCTCTGAATTGATGACACAACAACACAACAGCAACTTTGAGTCTTAATTCTGTCCGAGGACTGGAGCCATCTTTAATTTCCTAAACACTGTCAAGAGATCTTTTATATCTTTAGTTGAACCACTGCAGAGTCCTGAAATCAAATGATTTTAAGGTTTGTTCCAAACATTTCTTCTCATACAACAGAGTCCTATTATTCTTAAAAAAGAGTGCAGTAAAACTGTGTGTACTTCCAAAAGTCTTAGAGGATCCAAAGCCTCAAATGTGCACTCAGAACATCCCACGGAGAATGGAGGCGGGATATTAAAATTCAACTGCAATCCGTCCTTGCACAGGAATCGGGGAGCCAGCTCTGTGCGTGACACCAAACCCCCTGTCACACTCAGTCTCCTGCTTTCTTCTCAGGGAAGCTCAGGGTCTGTATGCTGTCACCAGTCACAGAGCAGCCTGCCCTCAGGTCTTCTTAGTTCTGAGGTTCAATAGCTTTCGATTCAATGTGATGGCAGAAATTAATGGGTTTGGTTAAGGTCACACCTTTAAGCTCAAAACACAACATATTGTAAAAAACAAAACAAAACAAAAACAAAAATCCAAAAACAAACAAAAAACAAAACCCCCCACCCCACCCCACCCCACCCCAGGTGAGGGAAGACTGAGAAAGAGGGGATAGACGATGTATACTGCATTGAAACAGATGAGGGAGAAAACTGTTTAAAAGGGATATGTGATTAGGTATTATTGTCATGACAGGAGTTCAGAACGAAGGCTGCACAGTGGAGTGGACTTACAGTGAGGGATTATATAAAAATAGAAGAATTTGTCTTTTACTTTTCAAAGAGAAGACCAAATTTGGGGGGAGGGGGTGTACAGGGAGAAAAGTGCAACAATGAATGAATGAATGGAAACACTAAGTCTCTGTAAACTTCCATTAAAAAGAATAATTTTTAAAAAAGGAAAAGGGAAAAAAAGCTCACCCCAAATCAAAACCCACTACAACCAAACCCCAGTTTACTCCAACCCCTAGCAACCCTATTGGACAGAGGCTGCAAGGCAGACTCCCATGGAGCCACTGTTGGATTTGAACTGGCATCATTCTGGTCAAGGTCTTAACCACTGTGTCACCAAGACTCCTCAGCAAGCATACAGTCGTTGAGGATTGACTCCTCGGCCCCAGCCTGCAGCTGTGCCCCTCACACCTGTAATAACTGCCGTACAGGAAGGGGCCACCCAAAGCCCAGACCTTTACTTGCACCAGCAGCCGTTTCCAACCACTGTCCCAACTCCAGTCCAGGTCCACCTGGCCGGCGTCTGGGGATGTGGCCTCTGTAACCGTCTCCCCACCACCACTAGACGCCCTGATCTCCCCTCCCCGGGACCCTGCCCGGTGGTGTTGGGGTGCGTCCCTTACCGATGTCCTTTGAGGTAATCTTCCGCCTTTGTTTGAGGATGGGCTGTGAGGCTTCCACGGAGCCCGGCGGGAAGGTGATCTCCCTGCGCACCGGGGGCGGCTGCGGCTGGGGGCCCGCCACCTGCGCCGTGGGCACCGCGGGCATCACCTTCTGCATCTTCATGGAGGGCAGGAAGGGCGACTTGCTGGGTGACATGCGGTTCTCCAGGGAGCGCTGGAAGGACGCGGGGCTGGGCGCCCTGGAGATGTGGTTTGGCAGTGACGGGGGCGTCTGGTAGGAGGGCTGGGGAGGGCGCGTGATGGGCTGCATGGAGGCGGAGGGCGGCATGTAAGGCTGACGTTGGCTGACGTGCGAAGGCCACTGGCTCTCGTGGTTGATCCTCTGCTCGGGCACCAGCATGTCGTCGGCGCGCACGCCGGGGTAGGGCGGCGCCTGCGCGGGGCCGGGGCCCTGGCGGCCCGGGTAGGGGTAAGGCATATCGTTGCGGGCCGCCCACAGGTTCTGCTGCGGGCCCTCACTGGCGGCCGGCAGGGCCCCGGCCAGCATCTGCGGCGGCAGCCCGTGCGGCTGCATCTGCGCGGGGCCCTGCACGCGCTCGCGCGCATACGGGTACGGGTACTGGCCCTGCAGCGGCCGGCGCTCCGGCCCCGAGTACGAGCCGCCGTACTGGTTGTACAGCTCCTGCTGCTGCCCGCCGTACTGCAGGTTGTACACGTCGCCCTCGTGCCGCTTGGCCGGAGGCCCGTACATGCCGTCCATGTGGCGCTTGTAATTCTGCAGGGGACACAGACGGGGGGCACGGTGAGGCGCGGGACACAGGGGCGCCCTGCCTGGCTGCTGCACAGCGGCCTTCCCACGGCACCGCGGCGCCAAGGGCCACTGCCGGAGTGAGGGGACCCGCGTCTGGGCGCCCCAAGGACGTCAGAGGCGGGCTCCACGACACCGCGGCGCCAACGGCAGCTGCCGGGGAGAGGGGACCTGGGCCTGAGCTCCGCAAGGACGTCAGAGGCGGACTCCACGGCACCGTGTCCAAGGGCCCCTGCCGGGGAGAGGGGACCCGAGCCTGGGCGCCCCAAGGACGTCAGAGGCGGACTCCACGGCACCGCGGTGCCAAGGGCAGCTGCTGGGGAGAGGGGACCCGGGCCTGGGCGCCCCAAGGACGTCAGAGGCGGGCGCCAAGGGCCACTGCTGGGGAGAGGGTACCCAGGACTGAGCTCCCCAAGGACGCCAGAAGCAGGTTCCGGTGAACAGACTGCGCCTCCTGCCCCGGGGCCAGGCCCAGGGATGCAGTGTTGGGACAACACTAACCTGGGAACTGGTGGGGTGCTGGGCTGGAGAACTCTGGGGGTGGCATCACTACAAGGATGGGGCTAGCTCTTATACATGAGGTGGGGAATCTGGTGGGTTTCTGGATGAGATAGACAGAGACACTTGGAGAGGACTAGTGTTCCCTGTCGTCCAACATTCTAGGGAATCCCTGACCCCCATTTCTAGCTTGCTCTCTCCCCTAAATACCTGCCACTGGTGGTGGCATTACCCCGACGATGTCCCTGTGGGCACTGGCATGGAACCAGGACTGGGGCTGGGGGACTCCTGACAGGAGGTGGAGGGATCTGCGGTGTTTTCATTACTATCCTGTCACTTTACTGCTTTAAAAAATCACCTGTAATCAATAGTATGTATGTACTCCAGCAAAATGAATAAATGTGTAAAGCTGCTCTGAGGTTAACAAAAACAAACCCATCTGCGACCCCAAAATGTTGTTTAGAAAGAACAGAATCTCGGCAAGCTCTGGTGGCCTAGTGGCAAGAAGCTGTACTGCAATCTCAGAGGTACACGGTTCAAATCCACCAGATGCTCTGCTGGAGAAGGAGGAACAATCTCCTCCTGTATCAGTCAGATCTGATTTGACGGTACACACAAAAAATAATGAAATAAAATTTTAAAAAAAAAAAGAAAGAACAGAATCTTGTGTCTGGAAAGCCACAGGCCTTACTCTCTCATCTGTGGGGGGACAAGAGGCAGGTAGGGGGCTGCTGACTGGCCAGTGAGGTCTGCCTGGGGACCAGCATGCACTTGGCCTGGTCAATAAAAAACAAACCAAACAAACAACAAAACAACCCAACACAAAAACCTCAAATCAAAACAAAACAAAACAACCAACAAGACCAAGCAAAACCTCAAGCCATTTGCCAGAGTCAGTCTGACCCCAGAGACCCGGTGTGTGTCAGAGTTGAACTGGGCTCTGCAGTGTTTCCAAGATATATCAAAAGTCCATCTTTTGAATGCAAATCCAACTTTTCTGTAAACTTTCAGTAAACTCACAATAAAAAAAAAGAATAAGTCAAAGTAAACTAGTATAGAATTAAAAGTTTACATTAAAAAAAAAAAAAAAGAGTAAGTTGATCTTGCTTCTGAAGTGTCTCCTGGTGGGCTAGAACCTTTTGGTGAGTGGCCAGACACGTCACCATTGGTGACACTTAGGGTCAAAATATACTGTGGTTAATATTGTACTTTAAAAAAAAAAACTCATTTTATTATTTTTTTGTGTGTGCACCGTCAAATCATATCTGACAGGTAAAGGAAGAGATCATCCCTCCTTCTCCAGCAGAGCATCTGGTGGCTTCAAACTACGTGCCTCTGGGACTGCAGTGCAGCTTCTTGCCACTAGGCCACCAGAGCTCCCTTAATATTGTATTTTTAATATTCCCATTAACTTAAGCTATTAGTATAGAACGTTTTTAGTGGTTTTGTCTGTGTGTGATCCTCAATACACACCGATACAAAAGACCACAGTCAAGTGGATTTAGCCCGCTCACTCATTCTCGAGAGGAAGGACTGAGTAGGCCGCTGGTAGGGTGTTTGTTATACTGGTTTGTAGATAGATAGCACATCTCAAGGGCAATTTTTAATGTGCCGACTAGGAAGGATATCTTAGGAATATATTCTAGCACTGAAAACAGATCCCACATGCCCCATGCTTTCCCTCCACTTCCACCAAACCTCCAGAAGTGACATGAGTTTGGATTTTTCCCTCCCGGAGGAAAGTGGCCCATCACGAGTCCCCCCACCCGGATGCCCACTCACCGGTTGCTGGGGATACAGTCCAGGCTGGTGGCCTCCATATGGAAGCTGTCCTGAGGGTGGGCCTTGGCCTGGGTACTGCTGTCCGTACGGCTCATGCCTAGAACGGGGCATTCAGCAAACACTTCAGTGGCCAGGTGCTTCAGGCCGGTGGACAAACACGCTGCCCATTTCTGGGCCCCCCAAACCCCACAATTCTGGCCTTCCGCCCTCCCACACACGCTTTCTGACCGGGGCTCCGAGCACCAGCACTTTACCCAGAGCAGGGCCGATGGGAACACCCATCCGTGGGCACGCCGCCAGGCCCTGGGCTGCTGGTTAATGGGAGTCGGAGGAATACCGGTTGAGCAGGCAGGTGACCTGCTAACACTCGTCAGATCCTCTGCCTGGGAGGCCCCAGCCCAGCCAGGCCCCAGAATTCGTGCTAGGAAGCATTCTCCAACCTTCTGTGACCACACACAGCCGCATCAAAACCCAGGTGTAATCCTACTGCCACGGAGCTGATTCACACGACCGTACATGGGAAGAAATGTCCCACAGAGTTCCCAAGGGGGTCAGAACATTTTGTGAAATCAATCGTCATAACTTTCTTCTACATTGTCTTGGTAGATTTGAACTTCCAACCTTTCAATTAGTAGTCAAGTGTGTAACAGTGTGTGCCACCAGAGAGTAACGCTATAATCCTTACAGAAGTAGACGGCTTTATCTTTTTTCCCCTCAGTGTGGCTGGTGGGTTTGAACCACCAACAATTTGGTTAGATGCTGAATCTATTTCTCTCTGGGTGACAAAAGCTCCTTAAACATGGACATACAGTTATGGAAAGGGTTCCTACTCCTCAAATCCTCATTATGAACATGCAGCGTTAGATTTTAAAAGCTGTCTTTGCAAATATTGAGGCTCAATATCAAGAAGACAAAGATTCTCACCAAAGGGGCAACTGGCACCATAAGGATGGATGGTGAAGAGATTTGAGATTGTACACAGCTTTAGTTTGCTTGGATCCATAGTCAACACTCTTGGCACCAGCAGCCAGGAAATTAAAAGACATGTTGCGATGGGAAAGTCTGCTGTTAGGGACCTCCCTAAAGTACTGAAGAGCAATGGTGTCACTCTGGAGACTAAGGTGCACCTGATACAGGCCATGGTTTTTGCAGTCACTTGTTATGCATCAGAGAGCTGGACAATGACATGGGAGGATAGAAGGAGAATTGATGTCTTTGAGCTGTGGTGTTGGAGAAGAGTATTGAATACCATGGACTGCTAAGAAAACGAACAGGTTTAGGCTGGAGAGGGTTAAACCAGGTTGCTCCTTGGAGGCAAAGATTCTGAAGCTTCGTCTGACATACTTTGGAAATGTTGTAAGGAGGAACCAGTCCTTGGAGAGGGAAGTCATGCTTGGGAGGTTGGAGGGACAGTGCAGGAGGGGAAGACACTCTATGAGGTGGAATGATTCAATGACTGGGGTAATGCGGGTAGGTGTGTCAGAAGCAGTGAGATTGGCACAGGACAGAGCAGAGTTTAGGGCTATTGTACACAAGGTCGCTGTGAGTTACAGGTGACTCAACGGCACATAACAACAACAACAACAACAACAACAATCTTTGAAAAGAAAACAAACTGAATAAGCTAGCTGTGGGATAGACAGAAGTCCTCAGTATTGCAAAATCCTTAAAGGCCACAAAATATGTCCCATTAAGTCTTCAAACATGAGCCAATGACACCACCATCAACCGCCATGTACCACTGAATCGGATGTAAATGGCACAGGAGGAGATTGCCCCTTCTTCTCCAGTGGAGCATCTGGTGGATTCGAACCAGGTGCCTTCGGGATTGCAGTGCAGCTTCTTGCCACTAGGCCACAAGCGCTCCCCTGACACTTTTACTTTTTTAACTGCTACTTCATTGAGAAATTACAAATACCACTAAAAGGAACAAGTTTAGAACGATCACAGGTGTGTAACTGAAAAAATAAGTTATTTTAGAATTTGGACTGGCTATATTTTTAGCTAATCAAGGACCAAGGAGGAAAAAAGTGAGTTTTTAAGAGCATACAAACAGCAGCGGTAAAGGTTCTGCTGACGACCCTGATATCTAGGAAAGGTGTTTAGACTTAACAGGTGAGGAATACAATTAACATGAACCAAAGTTAGCTAATAGCAGGAAATACCCTCTCAAAAAAAGAAAACTTAATGAAGCAAACCCCTCTTTATCATGTGGCAGTGAGAAATGACTTTTTAACCTAGGTCACATCAAGTTTGAGGAAGCAGGTCAGAGGAAACAGAACAGTGTTTTTGGCTGGGTTCTTTTCAGAATGCATATCCCAGTACCATTCTGCTATTCTCCTAGCTGAAAATAATCAAACCAAGTAACAGTTTTTACTGGATATGCTCAAATAAAACCAAATATAAGAGAAAGATTTCTGTATGCAGAGCAGATTATCCGAGAGGCTGGGCTCTATGAGGAGAAGCGTGGCATTAGGATTGGTGGACGATCTATCAACAATCTGCGTTATGCAGATGACACAACCCTGCTTGCTGAAGCTGAGGGAGGACCTCATGCTCTTACTGCAGAGGGTCAAGGACTGCAGCCTTCAATATGGACTGAGGCTCAATGTCCAGAAGACAAAGATTCTCATCACTGGACCAATCAGTAGCATCAGGATGGATGGTGAAGAGATTGAGATTGTTCACAGCTTCAGTTTGCTCGGCTCCACGGTCAACAATCTTGGCACCAGTAGCCAGGAAATCAAAAAACATATTGCGATGGGAAAGTCTGCTGTTAAGGACCTCTCCAAAGTGCTGAAGAGCAATGGTGTCTCTCTGGAGACTAAGGTGCGCCTGATACAGGCCAGGGTTTTTGCAATCACTTGTTATGCATCAGAGAGTTGGACAATGACTAGGAAGGATAGAAGGAGAATTGACGCCTTTGAGCTGTGGTGCTGGAGAAGAGTATTGAATGTACCATGGACTGCCAAGAAAACAAATAGATTCATCCTAGAGAGGGTTAAACCAGGCTGCTCCTTGGAGGCAAGGATTCTGGGGCTTCGCCTGAAATACTTTGGACATGTTGTAAGGAGAGACAGGTCTTTGGAGAGGGATTTCATGCTGGGTAGAGTGGAGGGACAGCGCAGGAGGGGAAGACCCTCTATGAGGTGGATTGATTCAGTGACTGGGGTAATCGGGATGGGTGTGTCAGAGGCAATGAGATTGGCACAGGATAGAGCAGGGTTTAGGGTTGTTGTACATAGGGTCGCTATGAGTTGCAAACGACTCGACGGCACATAACAACAACAACAACAACAACAACAACAACAACAACATCATAAGAGAAAGAAATAAAGAAAGAGAAATCTAAGTGCTTTAAAGACTGAACAGCGGCTAACCAGTTAAACTTGGACAAATATTCATGGCGTTGGCTAGGGTGAGAAAGAAAAAGAATGAAGTCTTAAATCACATTAAATGACTGCTGCTGAATCAATTCCACAGGAGCCTGTGTACACACAGGAGTGTGTATATGTATGTATGTGTATACGTGTGTGTGTGTGTGTGTGTGTGTGTGCGTGAACAGAACTGTGTGGGTCTTTTTTCCAAAGGCCTCGCCAGTGGACTTAAACCACCTACAGCTGAGCCTCCAGCGAGTTTTCAGAGGCAATAAATAGGAGGAGAGGAAACTGCCCATCTTTCTCCCATGGAGCTGCTAGTGGGTTAGAACTGTGTGCCACTGGGATCACAGTGCAGCTTCTTCCCACTAGGCCACCAGAGCTCCCTTTAGTTAGTCACCCACTAACCTTACTTTAACAGTTTGCACCACTTCCCAGGGACCTCGGTCACTATCCAAACCTGGCTCACTGGTGTCGAGCTGGTGCCACTTTTTGGTGACCTAGCACTGGGTTTCCAAGGCTGTAATCTTTGCAGGAGGAGACTGCTTATCTTTGTTTCAAGGAGCATCTGGTAGAGTCGAACTAATGGAGCATAAAGGTCCGCAGTCCAATACCTTACACACTAAGTCACTGGGGCGCCAAGCCATTATTAGAAGGTATCATCACTTGACTATGTGATGCATGGCTATGTATTCACACGTACGAGGCTCACAGATAATGCTAGAAAGACGCTTCATTGAGAAAACTGCCTGCAAACGTGTTTCTCTTTGTGTTCACCCTGGAATCCTGCCCTAGTAAACCCTTCCTGTGGACCTAGTGGGGCCTTCTGAGAAGGCAGCCAGAAGTGATACCAGTCTCTTGCACATAGAGTGTGGCATGTCTCCGTTTTTGCTTTCTCCTTTGAAAGCCATGAATAACACATTAAAGGCTCCTCCCAGATCTCAGCATTTCATTCCTGCCTGCTCGGGCACCACACTGCTGGGCCTGGGAAGGGTTTCTTCCCACTGTGAGCTGCAGCCTTTCTCTCCACTGTTCTCCTGCTAATCTTTCAGTAAGAAAACCCCAAACCCAACCCAACCCAGGCAGGTAATGACCATCATGACCTTAGGGTGGAGAGGGAGGGATTTTGTAGGAATCAGCAGAGTCAGGGGCTCAGGTGAGGGGCTTCTCACTGGAACACCTACCCCTGGACCCGGCCAGGTGACCCCAGTGGGTGAGGACAGATGTCAGATGGAGATCTGTCATCCACACTCCACTCACACAGGTCAGCCTCACCCAGCTGCTGTCCCATTACTGATCAAACTTTTGCTTTGGGATCTCTGGTGGCCTAGTGGTAAGGAGTTGTGCTGCCACCCCAAAGGCATGCAGTTCAAATCCACCAGGTGCTCTGTGGCAGAAGGGTGGGCAATCTCCTCCTGTGCGATTTTATGCATCTGAAAACCTCCTGGAGGGTTAGTTATGGGTTGGTTCTCACTCTATGGTATACAACAACTACTAGTACTTGCTTGTCAAAGGGAAAGATTATCTATCACCTGAGGCTCCACGGCCCTGGGGTTCCAGCATCACTGAACAGTCTCCACCCGACCCCACTCACCTCCGGTCATAGCTGGCAGCATAGGGGAACTGCTGCCGCTGGCCCATGCCCAGGTTGGACACGGCCCCCGAAGGGCTCTGGTTGTACATGTCCTGCACGCTGCTGTTGGGCATCTGTCCTTGCGTCATGAAAGGCTCACTGCTCCCAGGCACTGTGAGATTTTAAAGAAAAGAGCACAAAATCAAGCCTTTTCAGAAGTCATAGGATGCTGTGATCCATTCTAGACAACTGTTTTTAAATTAACTCAGACTCCGAATCTGGCACAAAGGATGCTCATGAGAACTGCCCAAGGACCCAGTGTCCCCTCCTGAGAGACATGGGGCCTGGGACAAGCTCTTTTCTCCTGAGTGTGGGCAGAACCCGCGGCATGATGGGAGAGCACTCCCATTCTATGTCACACGATGTGGCAAGAGGGACTTTGCAGTTATAATTACGTTTATTCATCAGTTCACTCTGAGTTAATCAAAAGGCAGATCCCCTGGGTGGACCCGATATAAAATGTTGTTGCTGTTGTTTAATGCCGTCGAGTCGTAGATGACTCATAGCGACCCTATGAATGAACAGCCTGAGCACTGTTCGTACATAGAGTTTCCAGAGGCAAGCCATTTCAGAAGTGGATGCCGCTCCTCCTTCCAGCCTATATAAAATAAGCACAAAAACCTGGAAGGTTAGAGACAGGAAGTCAAGGACATTCTCTCCTGTTTCTGCCAGACAGGAGGGACTCAGAGCTGAACAAGCCCCAGATTTTCCTGGCAACAAGCAAAGGGGAAGCTCAGTCGTAAAGCTGTAAGGAATGGAATCTTGCCAACGATCCAGATGAGACTGGAAGAGAACCCAGAGCCCAGTGATACACCCTGTGCCAGCCCTGCCAGGCCACGAAGGGGATACCTCGGCCCTGACCCACAGAAACATGAGAATGGACTCCTGTTTTTCATTTCAAAGTTCGAGGTAATTCGTTGTTTTGTCCCATCAAAGCCTCACACTGACCCAGATTCACTACTTACTTGGATAAACTACATAACGTCCGAGTTTAACTCCTGGCGGCGGCAGAAGTCATGTCGTAAGGAGTAAACAGAGCACCACATGGAGAGCCCCTTCCTCCCCTCATCAGAAGGAGTGGCCAGTTCAGCACACCACCCAACCTTTGCCTGGCCTCCCTTCACTCCAAAACCAGAGCAGAGAAAACGATGCGGGATTAGGAGCAGCTCAGCTCCGGCAGTGTCCGGAGGGCGCCGCGCTATGACCCCAAAAGGCAGCGTGTCTCCTGGGCAGGCGGTTCAAATCCACCAGCAGCTCTCTGAGGGGGAAAGGTGGGCAATCTCCTCCCATGCGATTCACAGCCTGGGGCTTTTCTGACAAAGGCAAGAATTGCTCAAGATGGGCGGAGCCACACCATCAGATATGCAAATCTCTGTCAGTTCGGAGCTGGGTCAAGCAAGCCCTGGTAAGTGACACAGTCTGATAGAAATTCTAATTGCTCTTCAGTCCTGCTGTCCCTTGACTCTGTGAGGCTCACTACTATCTGAGTAGCTCAAAAGTTCTCCATGCGGATAGAATGTGCTGGATGGACGACATGTTCTAACAACAAAGTCATACACACAAAAGGGGTTTTCCTTTCCAGTATCACATATTTAACCTCTTCAGTCTGCCATCAACCCAAGACAGAACTGTTCTTGATGCTAATTTCTACTTGACAGAGATGAAAAGAGATGGAAATAAAACTTCCCAAACCCCACCACTCTTGAGTCAGCACCATAAACCTTTACTGGAGGTGGGTTCAGACGCTGACCTTCTGGTTAGCAAGTCAACCTGGAATGCATGACTCCACCAGCGCTCTTGATGGAAATTAAGTGGCACAATGAAAGTTAAACAGGCTAATTCCCCAACACACACAGAGTTCTTACAAAACCAGTCGGAAAAAGAAAGTCAGGTTATAAAATGGACAAGCAAATGAACAGGCATTCACAAAAGTGGCCAATCAACTTAAGGAAAAAAAAATGGGTGACTTTACTAATAATGCCAGAAACCCAGGCTGAGGTAATTACAAAGCTTTTCCTCCTAATCTGATTGGCAAATATCAGAAGGACTTATGACCATTCTTTGTAAGGAGGTCAGGCCACTTCTCAGGATATTAAATAGGTACAACCTGTAGCAATATGGATGATGTCTTACGAACTTCAGTAACCCCCAAAGATGAACGTCTGTCTTGTGGTCAAACCCCTCACTCAATGGCTCTGGACTTGACTAAGGGAACTACCTTTTATTAAAAAAAATTAGTTACTGTTGAAAACTTACAGTGACTCAATACTTTTGTCCTTGTACAATTGAGTAAAACTGAATGCATTCTTTAAATTGTGCAACCACTCACACCCCCTTCCCCCCCCTTATTAACTTAAACTCACTGCTTCCTGCATCCTCCCCCCCCCACCCCCTTTCTAGTTAACCTCTGAGTTGACGCTTCCAATTTTATTCCAAGTAGATAGTTCTTTAAAAGAAGTGCCTCGGTGCTCAAGGCAGATGTTGTCTGCTAAGTGAGCTACTGTTTGGTTTAAAGACAACTTTGGGGACAATTCTGCCATAAGGTTTAAATATCATCTCAGGGCAATAAGTCTGGGGTCATTCAGACTTAAAGGTTCTGGATATCATGAGAACTTGAAATGTGGTTCTGTATATCCCTCCTCTGATCAGGACTCTTCTATAAAACCTTTGATCAAAGTCTGCAGGGATGGTAGCCAGGTACCATGGGGTTTGCTCTGGCCACTGATTTCATGGGACTCATTCTGGGCAGGGAACCCTCCCATGCGATTTAAGGCCTCTAAAAACTTAAGGGAGAGTCAGTTATCAGTCAGATCTGACTTGAGGGCAGTGAGTAAGAGCTTTGGGAAGCTTGGTTAAGAATTTGCAGCTTTTGGATTCCTGAGCTCACAAGCTCACTGCATGTCCTGCAGGATTCCTGAACAACTCTGGAAATATATGTGTATATTTTGTTATTGTAGTTGCTGTGTGCCTTTGAGTTTTCAGAGGCAGTAAATTGCATGGACAGAGAGTGTTCATCCTTCTTCCATGGTGGATGTGAACCGCATGGCGCTCCCCCCCCCACATATATGTATATGTATATATGCCATTGTGTTGCCTGTGACTCATAGCGACCCCATATACAATAGCTCTAAACCCTGCTCTATCCTGAGCCAATCTTATTGTCTCTGACACACCTAACCCCATTACCCTAGTAAATGAATAAATCAATCTCATCGAGGGTCTTTCTCTCTCTCTCTCTATATATATATATACACACACACACACACACACAAATCTTGTGTTTGTACAAACATCTCCTTGATGAAATATTATAAATCCAATTTATAAATTAACTAGTATATTCCTAATACTGAAATTTTTTAGATTATTAATTTTTCCCCCTTGGTCCATTATATTGGAGGAAAGCCAGGTTTGGCCTAGGTTTCTCTCTATTCAGACACTATAAAGACTAAAGTTCTTAAAAAACCTAAATACAGAGGAGTCGTTGTTACTTCATGGATCCCAGAGTACGTCCTTTTGAGACAAGCTAGATGCCGAACCCGTGTGGCTGCCTGTGATTGGTAGGAACGTATCACCACCTCCCTGCATTTCAGATAGACAAGGACAGGTGCTACCTGAGAAACTCGGGGGTTTTATCTTTGCTCTTTCAAATTATTTTTCAAGTTTCTTTAACATTCCTACTCAGACTAAATGCTGACCCTCTGGCGGGTTTTTGCAGATTGTAGATAGCTCGGGAGGGGGGGTGGCGGCGGCACTCCTTTCCCCTCACAGTAGATAGAGCATTTGAATCTCCAGAGGTCCCACCTGTGGTGCTACTGCTTACGCTCTGCACGACCAGAGAGTACCTCCCCACAATCTGAACCTTGTCCTGTCCTTCTCCATCAGCCTAGTTTCTGCCACGCTCCACCCTGTGGGCACAGTCACTGTGCCAAGCCACCTTGTTGAGGGTCTGCCTTTTCCTTCTCTGATCCTACCCTGCCCAGCATGATGGCTTCTTCTAAGGGCTGGTCCCTCCTGACAACGTGGCCAGAGTATAAGAGATGAAATGTCACCACCTTTTGACTCTGAGGAGCATCCTGGTTGCACTCCTTCAAGGCAGATCTCTTTGTTCTTTGCAGTCCAGGGTATATTCAACAGTTTTCACTAACCCCACAATTTTTTTTTTTTTTAATTTTGTGTGCGTGTACCGTCAAATCAGATCTGACTGGTACAGGAGGATATTGCGCCTCCTTCTCCGGCAGAGCGTCTGGTGGATTCGAACCGTGTTCCTCTGGGATTGCAGTGCAGCTTCTTGCCACTAGGCCACCAGAGCTCCCCTTAACCCCACAATTTAAAGGCACCAATTCTTCTTCGATCTTACTCATGGTTTGAAATTCAGATGCATAGGAAGCAACTGAAAAATACTGTAGCTTGGCTCAGGAGCATTTTATTTATTTTTTTTTTCTCTTCTTCTCCCTGCTTCTTTTGAAACAGTCCCTCGGTAAGGACTATCCACTTAGCTTTGTATCCAAAGATGAAATTTGTAGGTGAAAGGAGTTAGGAGTTAGCCTTCGTTACAGACTGGTTCATTTCAGGGTCGAAAATATGGAACGCTTCACGAATTTGCGTGTCATCCTTGCGCAGGGGCCATGCTAATCTTCTCTGTATCGTTCCAATTTTAGTATATGTGCTGCCGAAGCGAGCACTCAGGAGCATTTTAGTCTTTATATTGATAACGATGCTCTTTAGCATTTTGGAGAAGTCCTTAACACCAGCTTTTCCCAACGGAACATGTCTTTTGATTTCCTGATTGCTGCTACCATGCTGCTAACTGTGGGTCCAAGTAAAATGAAATCTTTGAGTAGGTGTGGAGAAAGGACAGAACCCTGACACATACCTTTCCTGCTTTTAAACCATGTAATGTTCCCTGTTCAGACAACAGTTTCTTGGTCTAAGTATGGATTTTTGTATTGGGAGCTCTGGTGGCCTAGTGGCAAGAAGCTGTGCTACAATCTTGAAGGCACACAGTTCAAGGACACTAGCTGTTCCGCAGAAGGAAGGGCAGTCTCTTCCTGTGGGGTTAATGGCCTCTGAAACCCTGCTGGGGGCTCAGCTATAGGAAGGTGAACAACAACAACAACAACATGGATTTTGTATGAACACAGCTCAGCGTTCCGGAATTCCTGTTCTTCTCAGTGCTAACCACGATTTCTTATAATCCACAAAGTCAAGCGCCTTTGCAGAGAACTCCCTACCAGGCTTTAGAATTTGACAGGCGTCAGTCTCCTCTGAGACGGCTCATTTTCATTACTGTAAACCATGGAGTCGGGACGGAACCAAAGCTGACCCTCCAGTCGGTTTTCACGGACAGTAAATCGCACAGGAGGAGATGGACCATCCTTCTCCCACAGAGCAGTTGATGGATTAGAATTTAGCCAGAATCCTTGTCCTGATTCCAAAGATCAGGAAACCCACAAATGAAAAAAGATGGGGAAGGGGGTGGGGAGGGCAATTTTGACAGGGAAAAAAGGCACTAGGGGAAAAAAAGCTCACCTTTTAAGTACCATGTAATAGCATGAAACTAACATCTAATAAAATCTGAAAAGGAAGAAATGTGTTTTTTAGTCTAGAAGGGCAACTGAAAGAGACCTTCTTATCAAGGTGGAATCCTCTGTTTATAGTTAAGGTTCTTCTCTGTCTGGCAATCAATCTGCAGCTGGACCCACTTCCTTTTGGGTACCCCAACGGATTACCTTCAGACCTTGTATTAGTGTATAGGAAGGACACTTTTAAGTATTGCAAGGTTTACTCTGAGTCACCTTTCCCTCTTAATATAGTGTGTTGAATAAAACTACCTGCCATTCCTAGCAAAGTATTTCCCCCTGAGACAGCTGAGATCCAGGCCAGCTTTTAGCTAATGCAGGGACACACCCTATCTAAGCAGTGTGGGATTCAGAGAATGCAGGCGCCCCACCCTCAGGTGCTCCTGGCTAATGGACTTTGGTTTTGCTAACAAATCCCATAGTCTTGAGTCTCTGTGAACAACAGATCTGAATCCTGTGCCTTTCCTCATCATCTCTGACTGGGGCCCAGTGCTGCAGTCACTGGGTCAATCTGTCTTGTTGAGGGTCTTCCTCTCTTCTGCGGAACTTCTACTTTTCCAAGTATGATTTCTCTTTCTAAGGAAGAGCCCCTCCTAAGGAAACTTTGGGTGTCAGGCATATACAGAGGTTAGGAGAGTGGCCCTAGCCATGAGATGGACTTTGCAGGGCATGTCTCATGACAGTCTCTCTAGAGAGAGGAAACTCGTATTTATACGTCTCATGATGACCAAGCCCCTAACCAGGCAGCTACCATCTTGAAGGATGGAAACCGACAGTGTATGCTGTGTGACGACTACACACTAATCAGAATGACAAGTGGCCCGCTGCTGGGCCCTTCTGATTCACAAAGCCTCTTCCTTTTCTAAAATAAGTCTCCAAGGTCATGAATCCCACACATTGGGAGCTGGGACTCCAAGCTGAGGCACATACACGTGGGGACGGGGGGGCCCGGACGTACCTTTTCTCATTCCACCAAAGGGGTCCTTGTTGGGTTCGTAGGGCAGCCGGCCCATCATGTCCGACACGCTCACGCCTTGCTGGTAGGGGGCGTTGGGGGTCATGGAGTTCCGTTTGGAGAACGATGAGGAGGAGTCGCTCCCGTCTGAGAAGGGGTCATGGACGCTGATTGTACTGCTTCTGAGGGGACGTAACAGGGAGAGCTGAAGGACGTGGCAGGAGCCACAGCCCAACGCTGTGCTCACGGAACCAAACACCAACGTCGCAGATCCCAAATCACGCCAAATAAATGACACAACCTGCACTGAAAATCCTCACAAAACCTCCCCAAACCCACTGCCAATGAGTCGACTCTGCCACACAGGGTCGCTGTAGGACAGAGAACTGTCCTGCAGTGTTGACAAAGATCGCTCCAGAAGCAACTCTGTAGGGAGGGGTGCTGCTAATCCCAACGCTGTGACTCAGGAGGTGTGAACACGCCAACCCGAAGGCCGTGACTCGGGAGGTGTGAACACGCCAACCCAAAGGCCGTGACTCGGGAGGTGTGAACACTCCAATCCAAAGGCAGTGACTCTGGTGGTGTGAACATGCCAGCTCAAAGGCCATGCCTCGGGGGGTGTGTGAACATACTAATCTGAAGGCTGTGACTCAGGTGTTGTGGCCACACCAACCCAAGGGCTGTGACTCGGGTGGTGTGAACACACCAAGCTGAGGGCCGTGACTTCGGGGTGTGAACACATTAATCTGAAGGCCATGACTCTGGTGGTGAGAACGTGCCAACTCAAAGGCCATGACTCGGGAGGAGTAAACACACCAACCCGAATGCCGTGGCTCTGGTGGTGTGAACACACTAGCAGCTCCGAGTGAGCAAGGTGAGCACTCTTTTCCTGGGCAGTTTACAGCTTTGGAAATCGAACAGAGCCAGCGATTAGACAGTTCCAAAGTGATGAGATCTTTATGGGAACAGACGGTCTCATCTCTCTTCTTGGGAAGGAATGGTGGGTTCAAACCCACACCTCTTGATTGGCTGCAAAATGTTTTAACCACGGTGCCACCAGAAGCCAGGAGAACCAGAAGGAACACAAAAATCAACCCTGTGTTATTGTTGTGCACTGTTGAATGGACCCATAACTGACCCTCCAGTGGGTTTTCAGAGGTAGTTAACCACGAGGGAAGAGACTGCCCATCCTTTCCCACAGAGCAGCTGCGCGAATTCTGACCACTAGGCCACCAGAGGTCTAAGTACTCTTTAGGACACAGTAAAACTGTCCCATAGGGTCTCCAAGGCTATATTCCTTATGGAAACAGACTGCCACAGCTTTTTTCCAGAAGAGTGACTAGTGGGATTGAACCACAGACCTTGTGGTTAGCCCCTGGATGCTTTAACCACTGTGCCCTATAGAACTTGCTCTATGAATGGTGCAGTAACCCATCCAGCTCTGTGCCGGTACTGAGTCCTCCTAACATACCTTCCGCCTTGCATTGGGGTCATCTGTCCGTGGGGAGTGGAGGCTGGCGTGGGGGGCTTCAGGTCACCTGGAACCTCCGCCATCGAGTTACTGCCCGTTGATTGCGGGGTCTGTGGACCTTGCAAGGATCCTGAGTTTGCTGAGAAGCGAGAGACAAGGGGACAGAAGGCAGCAGGTTACCAAGGAGCCAGCTCATTCCTGCTGGTCATTAAATAGGATTTAGAACTATGTCACAAATACTGAAAACACGCACTGCTGACAGACATAGTAACATGCATCATTCTCTGCTTACAGAGAGAATTTGTAAATGCCACCAAACGAAACACCACCAAACTTTCTGGCAGCATTATTCATTTGTGAGGCGGAAAACACATGTTATTTCTTCTGTCTCAGTCACTGGATTTCCTGGGTACTTTTCCCCAGAAAATAATCAAATAAAAAGAGGGCTAGAGGCAGAAAAAGGTTTGTCCTGAGTTGTTTGTGTTAGAGATAATCTAGATGTTTAAGTGTAAAGAAAAACACGATGGAAATCTTGGTGTATAAATTTGACAGACTAAATAAAGCGTTGTTTTATGAAAGAAAAAAAAACAATCAGAAAAATTAGTTTTATGTCTTGGTTGATGGGAAATGCAATGATTGTGAGCAATGATACAAATTACGCATGAGCGTACGTTCCCACACTTCCTGTCTGCAAGTGTCCACACTCTGTCATTAATGATCCATTTATTCTGGGAGTTAAGAAACCAGATTTGTTATTAAAAATGCAGCGATCATTACTAGTTATTCTAAACAACTGTGAGAGAGTCAGATATAAGGAAGCTTGCAAACAGCTGTTGAGAACGTGGTTTCTGCCGTGTAAGAGAAATTCAGAAACTTGACTGAAAAATCTCTCAACCTTTCCAAGTCCCAGGAGCCACCTCAGATGGCTTCCAGGTTTCTGATGAAGAGTTCCGATGGCTTGGATTCCGTATCGTGGCCTGGATTTTAACAATGCTTTGTGCTGGGTTTGCCAAAGGGTCTCTCCATCTTGCACTGAGATAAATCTGCTGTTAGGGACCTCCCCAGAGTACTGAGAAGCAATGATGTCAGTCCAGAGACTAAATTGTGCCTGATCCAGTCCGTGGTCTTCACAATTGCTTGCTATGCATCAGAGAGCTGGATAATGACTAAGGATGATAGAAGAATTGATGCCTTTGAGTTGTGGTGTTGGAGGAGAGTCTTAAACATATGGATCACCAAGAAAACAAACAGGTCTGCCTTGGAGAGGGTGAAACCAAGTTTCTCCTTAGAGGCTAGGATTTTGAAGCTCCACCTCACATATTTTGGGCATGGGGCCAGGAGGGACTGGTCCTCAGAGAAGGACATCAAGCTCAGAAGGCTGGAGGGACAGCACAGGAGAGGAAGACCCTGGACGAGATGGATTGATATAGTAACTGGGGCAATGGGAGGTGGTGTGTAGGAGTCAGTGAGACTGGCTCAGGACAGGGAAGGGTTCAGAGCCGCTGTACAGAGGGTTTCTATAAGTCAGACGGCACATAACAATACCACAACTCTCCACTTTAGTACTCTGGGAAAGGGGTGTTATTTTCTGGGTAGATGTTCTTCTAGTATATTGCCTTTTAAACCAGATTGTCTCTTTTATATTGAAAACATTTTTATGTTTTCTAATTTAAAAAGTAGTATTTTCTTATAGATAACTGCAATAAAGCTGACATTAGGATGTGTGCTTTTTGCAAATGCTATACAGCTGATAAAATTTTACATCTGAAGCTTTGTCTGACACACATTGGAACCAGTCCTTGGAGAGGGATATCATGTTTGAGAGAGTAGAGGGGACAGCACAGGAGGGGAAGACCCTTGATGAGATGGATAGATTCAGTGACTGGAGTGGTGGGGGTAGGTGTGTCAGAGACAGTGAGATTGGCACAGGAGAGAGCAGGGTTTAGGGCTCTTGTACATAGGGTCGCTATGAGTTGCAAGCAACTTGATGACACATAACAACGATCAATATATCCTACTGGTATAGAATAGTTTTAAATTATATTTTAAAAAGCTCAAAATAATATCCACAGGTTGTACAGGTTTGGAGTTCTTTCCTGTCGCTATCACGGTTCAGAAATGTGCCCTTCACCATGGCAACAAAGAAGAATACCAAAGAGTGTGGGCTGTTTTTCAAAGTTTAAGAAAGAATTTTGAAAAGGAAGGAAAGGAAGGAAGGAAGGGAAGGAAGGGAAGGAAGGAAGGAAGGAAGGAAGGAAGGAAGGAAGGAAGGAAGGAAGGAAAGGAAGGAAGGGAAGGAAGGAAGGAAGGGAAGGAAGGAAGGAAGGGAAGGAAGGGAAGGAAGAAAGGAAAAATGGAAGGAAAGGAAAGTGAAGGAAGAAAGGAAGGAAGAATTAACCTCACTTTGTAAGAAAAAAAAAAATATACTCAGGGTCTCTTTTATCAAGTACAGTTCTTAACACAGTTAGGTGTTCCACAGCAGGTTGGTTTCATGGATCAGTTAAAGAAAGAAATATTTTTGGGATAAATAATGTGTCACTGTGGATAATCTCAGGCTTTCCTAGGGCTGGAGACTCCAGTGTACTGAAATGGGCATGGCAATTCCTGCCCTCATGCAGTTTACAATAAAAGCTTTTCAGCTCTCAGGAGGAGAGAGGGTACTGGCAGAGGGTTAGAGGGTTATACACTGAAGCAGCCTTTCTTATGAGGTTCCCACGGCTCACTGTAACACTGTCATTATCCCAAGTTTACCTCAGAGGAAGCAAAGGTTAAGTAATCCACCAGAGATTACAAAGCGATCCAGGAAGGAGCCACAGAGAAGTTAATGTCATTTCGACTCATGAGCGTCAGAGCTGGACACAGACAGGCCTTTCAATGGGATTTCACCTGCCTGGCCTGGCCTGGCCGGGGGGACCAGAGCATGGACTGGCCCCAGCTGTGCCTGCAGTGCCATGGCCACGCCTCTACCCCAGGCCTGGTGAGCTCTTGGGACCCCTCAGAGATGCTGGGAGCGTAAACTTCAAAAGTGAAGGCTTTTCAGCAAATCCTGGGCACTTGTGCTCACAGATGGACCACCTGCGAGAGCCTGGGGTTGCATGAAAGCAGAGGCGGTGCGGGAATGAGCGTGGTCTTGGGTGGATAAGGGGGGGGAGCACTTCACAGACCAGACTGCCCACAGGCTGGCAGAAGGGGACACTTGCCCTCTCCATCCTCCGTTCTCACAGATACCACCCATCCCAGGGCTCCACGCCCACGGGGCTGTGCTCCAGGCCAGGTGCAGGGCAAGCCTCATACACAGGGCTGAGGAGGAAGGAACACACGGCTCTGAGCCAGCCTTTCTTTCAGGAATGACAGAGCCTCTGAGAAGCCGCTGGGCTTGCTTCACCTGAACTTGCTACCGTCCATGCGAGGTCCTGGGTCCAGTGTCCTCACCCCCTTGTCACTGGCGCCTGGTGGGGCCGCAGGGAGGGTCAGCCTGGCATGTCCAGGCTCTAACTGTGTGCTGAAGCTGCACCTTAACTTGCGACTGTCCATGCGAGGTCCTGGGCCCAGTGTCCTCACCCCCCTGTCACTGGCGCCTGGCAGGGCTTGAGGGAGGCACGTCCAGGCTCTAGCACTAGAGGTCACCTTTGTTCAACTGGCTTCCCTTTTTCATTCCCTTCCCCAAGGACCACCTGCTGCCTCCCTGACAGGTCCTGAGACATCACCTGTCAGCTAATAACCTGCCTGGAGAGATGGATGGGCTTTAGGTTCTAGTGCACTCACTGCATGTCTGTCTGCCTCTGGCCTGCTCACACTGCTGCCAAGGTGACCCCAAGTGCAGGCCTGCTTGGCTCTGAGAATTCTTCCCACCTCACAGGTAACCAGGAATAGGCCGGGTCCTGGTCTGGACCTGTGGTGCCTCTGGGATTCTTGGATGTGCGTGCACGTGTCACACACACTTGTAGCTCAGGTCCTAACTTCCTAGAATACGCAGCAGTTGTCTCTGCAGCTAGATTAAAGAACAAACACCAACTCCCCAACCAGGTGTCTCAGAGTCACCTCTGACTCATGGACAGCCTGCCTGTGCCCAGGAAAACGGCTCCACTGGGCCAGGACTTCCATGGAAGCAGGCCACCAGGCCTTTCGTCATCAGTACCTCTGAGAGGGTCTGAGGGCAGTTTGCGGCTAGGAGGCAAGCCCATTACCATGTGGCCCTTGGGAATCCAGATACATGAGAGTGAAGCCACATCTGGGATTCAGGGGGCTGAGGCAGGACGCTTAGAACACAGCCATGGGACTCAGCTGGAAAACAGAGTGTCTAAAACAGTCTAAGAGAGGGGAGCTCTGGTGGCCTAGTGGCAAGGAGCTGCAACTACAATCCCAGAGGTGCACGGTTCGAATCCACCAGATGCTCTGCCGGAGAAGGAGGAGCAATATCCTCCTGTACCAGTCAGATCTGATTTGATGGTACATGCACACAAAAAGAATAAAATTAAAAACAAACAAACAAACAAACAAAAAACAGTCTAAGAGAGGAGCTCTGGTGGCCTAGTGGCAAGAAGCTGCACTGCAATCCCAGAGGTCCGCAGTGCGATTCCACCAGATGCTCTGCTGGAGAAGGAGGGCAATCTCCTCCTGTACCAGTCAGATCCGATTTGACAGTACACAAAAATAATAATAAAATGTAAAAACAAAATCCCCCAAAACAGTCCACGAGACATAATGGATCTTATGGCTCCGTTCACCTGCACCCAGCTCTAAGGATGGGACGACAGTCATGGTTTCTTGGAGAAAACTGACTTCAAAGAACATGGATTTGTGCGGGACATGACACTTTTGAAAACAGTGTACTATTTACCAGGGGCAGGAGGGAGCAGGGGTGAGGATGCTCACAGCTTAGGAGGGAGCAGGTATGAAGGGTGATGGGGAAATCTGGGAATGGCTCATAGCAAAGGTTGCACAATTCGGTGGATGCATTAAATGTCACTGAACTGTACCTGGAAAAATGTTGAAAGAGTAAAATGTTTGGTATATGTATTTTTATCATAATGGGGGGAAAAAAGAAAGCAAAGTCAAAACAACAATGAACCCTCTTTGCAATAATGAATAAAAATTTTTTAAAAAAGGAAAAATATATACACAAATAAGTTAGCAAGAGGAAATGGGACTTGAAAAAAATCCAGCAAGACAAAACCAAAAGAAAAACCCCTCTGTATAAGAGACCCCGATGTGGCAGGAGGTGGGGCATCGGTGTTTTCCTTCCAGGAAAACAAGTGTTTCAGAGACATTTCAGGTGTGGTCACTGCAGAATTGGAGGCCCTGGCCTCAAGGACACTGTGTGGACAGCTTTTGGGATGACCCAGCATCAACTCCCCTGCCAGCCTGGCCACACGTTCCTGAGAGGGGCCTTGTGAGAAACTGTCTTCAGGCAGGTAAAGTGAGCCCTCACAGCCACGGTGGGGTGTCCTAGATATTCTGGTGCTGATGGGAAGCTCCACCTGTATGCCTTCCTGTCTTCCTGGGCTGGGGTTCCTCCTGGACAACTGAGAGCATCTGATTATCTAAAGTGGGTCGGGCACCCCAGGTCTTCTGTGCCCTTCAAACAGTAAGGGTGAGACAAACCCTGCTGTGTGACACAGGGCATCGGGAGAGAAGGTATGGACTGAGGAGAGAACAGAGGTCTTGGCAGCCAGCAAGTGGGTGAGCCTCCCAGCTCCGGCCCAGGGGAGAAGGGGGCTCTCCACCCAGCCATGTGGCCCAGACAGGGTGATGTGCACTGTCCCAGCAAAAAAGAGCAACCTGAGGGCTTTGCAGACGCTGCCACTGCGGTGCCCACACCCCGCAGGCTTTGACTGGGGAACAATCATTTCAGAGCTTGCTTTACTCTGCAGCGTGGTGGCAACGTCACAGTGAGAGGTTTCATAGATGCGTCATCGCTGGCCAAGGCTTCAGGTCTTTCCGGGTGGGGGCGGGGGTGGGAGAGGAGACTTCCTACTGTGGGGAGATCCAATCCGGGTACGCTCACCAGACCTGCATGCTGGCCCCGCTGTCACTGTCACAGGTGACTACCCTGCACAGCCAACATATGAACAGCAGAGCTGGACCCCCCTTTCAGCCTGTGCCGCCGTCCTCACCATCTCTGATACACTTGAGCCACTGCTGCAGCCCACGTGCTGGGCTTGACCCTTGATGAGGGTCTTCCTCTCACCTTTCCAAGCTTGATTTCCTTCTCCTTTCTGGGTCCATAGGAGACTCAAGATGTGCAGTGTCTCCAGACAGCAGTGAGGGGACATGGTGCAGAGGGGCATCTTACCCTGACTCACAGACACCATCTGGTGGGAGTTGCCAGCCTGTCACATGGGCAGGTGGGTCAGCGGGCTCAGCTACACTCTCTGGCCAGACCCACTGAGGCCAGGCTCCCCTGACATTCAAAACCCACATTCAGACTTGTTGATTCAGAATGACTCATAGCTGACCCTCCAGGAGGTTTCCGAGGTTGTAAAACCGCAAGCGAGAAGACTGATTATCTTTCTCCTGAAGAGCTGCCGATGGGAATGGCCTTTGGGTCAGCAGTGCGATGCCCTGTGGACTAGGCCACCAGGGCCCTTACGCTGGGGTGTGGCTTTGGGCCAATCAGAGGATCACCTGGGAGGTGCAGGTTCAGAACCATCACGAGAGTGAGTCGCGTAAACTGTCAAGTGTCTTAGTGCATGTGGATGTTACATCTACTAGACAAGTCTACTGGGTGTTCAGGAAAACTACAAAAAAAAATTGAAATGAGGGAGAATGGCCGACATGTGACAAGACATAAGAATTAAGCACATGTTGTTGGGGGAAAAAAAACCGGTGCTGTGGCATGAACTCCAGGCAACAGTAACAGTTCTTCGCTGTCTAGTCAGATCTGCCTCCAAGCTGACCCTCCAGTGGGTTTTCAGAGGCTGTAAATCACGTGAGAGGAGACTGTCTTTCTCTTGTGAGACAAAGTTACCGTAAATCTTCAATTTGTCAGAAAAGGGGGCAACGTGCAGTATTTATGAAGCCCGATGAAAGGAGGTGTTTCTGTGCTTATGTTCTCTCATCTTCCTTTTCTAATGGATTATAAGAGTCCCTCTGACCAGGGGCTACAGCGAGGTGCAGAGCATGGAGAGGGAGCTGATCCACCCTAAGTGCTTGGGCCACACCAGCTCTTGGCACGTGGCCTCTGCAGTGATGAAGGGTCGAGAGCAGGGGATGGGCAGGGGCAGACAGGCTGGGGGTGACACACGCTTCTCCCAGGCACCCTGGTTCCATTTATCAGCACTTGGTGCTGTGATAACATCAGAGCTGACATCCTAATCATAGAACAGGGGACGTGGCAGAGTCCACGCCAGGTGAGGGGAAGACGAGGGCAGCTTTCCTGAGACACCTGACAACAGGTGGAGAGCCTGGATAGCCCAGTTCAGAAATTAAGCTCCCGGGGGTAAAGATGGTTACGGCGCTCAGATGTTAATGGCAAGGTTGATTGTTCAAGCCCATCCAGAGGCACGGCAGAGGAGAAGCCTTGAGCTCTACTAGAACCATCAGCTCTGTGGGGCACAGTCAGCTGTAACACACACGGGCCACCAGGAGTTGACAGCGACTCGACGGCTATTGTTCTCAGAAACAGGACTTTACGGATGTTCCTCAGGAGGACATGAGTTCCCTAAAGGGAAACCCTTGACATCCAGCTAGGTCCACATTTCATTTTTCAAGGGGAAATTCCGAGCATCCGTGACAGGCTGAGATGGGGGTCTGACCCTGCTGTGCCTGGCTGAGGGGTGCTTTTCCGTCACGCAAAAGTAATGAAATGATTACTACTTATTTTACTTACTTTGTAGAGTTGGAGTGTTTTGTAACATCTGCGTATGGAGCAGAGGTGCTGAGTTTAGAATTCTAGCACTTTCTGAGCTCATGATAAAGCATGGCAAGAACACAGTGCCATCAAAGTGCTTCCAGAATGATAAGACCCCTGACTTTACTGTGATTCCCTTAACTCCTGCTGATTGAGATTTCAAGTAAATGATTTAAGAAAAAAAAAAAATTAAATCAAAACCCTCTTCTCCAAGATCCAGCGCTCTCCTCTCTCGTTCCTACACGGCGGCCTCTGGCCCCGGTGCCCCGGGCTGGCCCCTCGAAGCATGGCTGGGCTGCCACTCACCAGGGGAGGGTGGCTGGAGCTTGGGCTGCTTCTTGGTGTCCCCGGTGCCGAAGACCTCGGGCGGTGGCTCCTCCCCCCTCTCAATCTTGCACTCGAAGGCAAACAGGTATTGGATGTACTGCTTCTTCAGGGAGCTGGCCGCGCTGCTTGACGTGCCCACGTTGAGGTTGGTCGCCAGCTCGCGCCACTTCTTGTTTTTGTTGACCTGGTGAGAAAAGAGGGGCAGCTCGTGGGCTTGTTCAAAGCACTTCACGTCTTGATTTACATTTCTGGTTTTGTTTTACATTTGCCTCTTTTAACGAAAGCTCATCACTCCTGCTCCACAGTGCAGAAGACACTTAAGAGTGGGAGGACCAGCATGAAACTGCTGCCTGCTGCCCACAGTGAGGCATCGCTGCACTTCCTGCCCTCCTAAAGTCCAGGTCGGTGTCCTGGGGCCCAGGGAGGCGGTGGCAGCCACAGGGCAGAGGAAGGGACGCGCCTTATACTCGTTCACTGGCCACTGAGCGCACACTCTTGTGTCTCCCTGCCTTGACCCAGTCTATTTCCTGCCCTGTGGGGACTGACCACTGAAGGACACGGCTCCTGGCCCCCAAGTCACACGGGCACTGAGACACAGTGTGAGAGATGAGTGGCCCGTGGTCTGCAGTACATGGGCTCTATCTGGGCCAGGCCAATGCTCCCTGGACCACAGACAGCATCCCTCAGGCCAGCAATGCCAAGGGGCTGGGGAGGGGCCCACATAATGGTGGCCCCCAACTCTTTCAGGGCCCAGAGTGAGTAGACAGAGAACCATCTAAATGAGACATGAAGCTTGTGCTGGCAACTGGGGGTGCAGAGGCAGGGGTCCTGACCCCTCTCCTCCTTCCACAGCTGGACCTGCCCACAGGACACTCTTACGTCACAGGAAGGCACGGCGGAGCTTGCACCCAGTGTCTCTACGTCCACTGGCCCTCAGCTCTTACCTGGGCCAGGCCCCCGATCTCCTTGACGCACACGTAGAGGCGGAACAAGTCGAGCGGCTTCTTGCCCACGGCGGGAAGGCTGGACACGGGGGAGCCCCGCTCCTCCATGAAGGTGAGGTAGCGGTCCACCCACAGCTTCCTCTCGGGCTCGTTCCCCAACTCGTACACCTTGGTGATCCTCTCCCCGGTGGTGGACGAGCCGGACTTCTGGGCCCCAGCAGGGACATTGCAGGGGGAGGGCAGGCGAGGGCAGAAGGGGCAGGGGGACGGAGAGAGAAGCCGTGAACAGCCAGTGAGAGAGGGGATATTCCCAAACCACTGCTGTCATGTGACAGTTAGGAATGAAGGCTACCAGCTCAGGCACACAGGACATTATCTTCATTACACGTTTACTCTGACCTCAAATAAAGGGCCGAAACTCTCCTTTCATCGACTTATAAAGCAAAACCAAAGAAACATTTTTTTAAAAAAAATAACCAACACCAACAACACAAAACTCCTCTATTGATCTAAGTAAGTGTTGAGTCCCAGAAGGCAAGTTTCCAATGAAGCTTGAAATAATTTTAAAATAAATGGTGTTATCCCCTAGAATGATCATGGGGCGAGGGAACCCAAGAAAACTCACTCGTACTATCAGAGTCCCCCAAGACTGATTCGTGTGTGTGTGTGTTTTCCCTTAAAACTGTCATGTGGTGGAAGAAACAACTCATAGGACTTAATGAAAAAGATGAGGTGGGGTCACAGAAAGCAGGAATTAGCACTGCGGATGCCATACTGGCTGATAAGCCAATGTCCAGGGAAAGCTCTGGAATTTACTCAGGAGAGCTAATGTTCCCTGCTTAAGCCTTTTGAGCTTCTCTATCAAGGGGAAGGGCTATTAAAGACGTAAAATACTTCTCTAGCCACCCTACTTTGATCTCGAATTAGTATGCTCTTGGCTAGTCTGAGTCTTACAGATGAACACACGCACGGGCCACGGACATGTGTCTACGTTGTCACGTGGTTTGTACTGACAGCCTAGCTCTTGGAGGTTAAAGGACCTGCAGACACCTTTCCGTATTATACTAAAATGCCAGTTCTACATGCTTGACGCAAACCTCCCAGGGAGTGAGTACGTTTAGGCCTAAATAGCCTAACTGTATCTTTTTTCCTTTTGTCTTAGTTACTTCCCTACTGGGTGGGTGTGTCGGAGACAGTGTGATTGGCACAGGACAGAGCAGAGTTTAGAGCTGTTGCACAAAGGGTCGCTATGAGTCACAAGCGACTCGACGGCATATAACAATGACAACTTAGTTATTTATAGAAATATTCATGTGTCTGTGATAATTGTAATGTCAAGGTTACTGTGCAAAAGGCCTTCCCAGTGCTCAGTGCTGAGTTCCTGGCACTAGCAGGCATGCTGAGGCATCGCGAAGGTTGACTCTGTGTGAACCTGGGGAGGTAAGGAAATCTGCTTGTTCGGTCAAACGCTATGCTACTAGGCTAGTGGTTGTTAGGATGTGATGTGCCACGGAGTCGGACACGACTCATAGCTGACCTCCCGGCAGGTTTCTGGAGGCGGTAAATTGCCTGGGGTGAGGTGGCTGTCCTTCTCCGCTGGAGAAGCTGGTGGATCTGAACTGTGTGCCTTTGCGTTGGCAGTGCAGCTCCTTACCACTAGGCCACCAGAGCTCTCTATGTTGTAGGTACATGTGACCAAAGCCGCTGGCTCAAGTGAAGAAGATACTCTATAAAGTAGGTGGGGCTTACGGGCAAAGGAAGGAAAAAAACGACAGAGGTTTCCCTTGGCTGTAGTCTCCTTCCATTCTATAAACAGCCATCTTGCTAAAAGTCCTTCCTAGTGAGCAAGGAGTTACCCTACCATCCCAAAGGCCGGTGGTTCGAATCTACCAGCTGCTCCCTAGGAGAGGGCCGGGCAAACCTTCTGGAGGGTCGGCTGTGAGTCAGTTCTGACTCAGAGGCAGTCAGATTAGTTATTCTTGAAACTCAACCTGGGCAGGAACACTGGAGCAGAGCCAAAGAGGAACCCGGCCGTGGGCCCGAGGAGAAGCTGCCCTGACCCGGGAGGAGTAGATGTCCGTAAGCCAAAAGCAGCTTACGGTGGATGACGTTTTGTACACTGACGGTTTCACTTTTCTCTCCTTTGCTAATGCATTCCTGTGTGTCCTAATGGGAGGTTTTCTTGTTGAATTAGAAAAATGTAATGAGGGCTATGATTTTTTAACAGAGTAGTGCAATTTTTCTTCATTTTCAATCGTCTAAAAGCCATTTCCATGGCCAAAATGCAGGAAGATGCGTGCGGCTGTCAAGGACCAGGCCAGGCATGTTAAGTCCTTGACCAGGACCACAGTCACCTAGCTGTCTCCGTGCTGGGCCCAGTGCAGTTCCCTGGGTGGGGATGTGCATGGTCCTGTAAGACCCTGAGCCTCCTACCCACCCTGTGAGCAGACTCCGGGAAGGATTCGTGCCCACTTTGCATCGCTAATGCCTAGTAATGACCTGCAGTGGAAAGGGTACTAGTGAGATGGGGGAAAAGGGCAGGCCTGGCTGCATTGAGTTAAGTCACAGCTGATTAAAAGATTCTCGGACACACACTTAAGCCAGTGACGTGCTAAGGGAGGCTTCCTCTGCCGCCAATGAGACGGTGCGTGGAAAGGCAGCGAGGTGTCATGGCCACAATGCCCACTTGGACACTCAGTGTTCTGACCTACGTAACTGACTGGGAGACCAGAGCTATTTTTCTGGGGTCTGACTCCACAGAGAAGTAGGACATTCTAAGAACAGAAGTCCAAGGACAAGTAAGAGTTTAAATTTTATTATGCTCACAACGCATCAGGCCAAGCGCCTGCCTTTTTTAATCAGTCATGCGCCCTATTGCAATGTCACTGGTAAACTCTCTACCTTATGATAACGGGCAAGTCAAACAATGGCCATGTTTTCCGGTCGCCCAGGCCCACCTCACACTCTGTGTTGCGGGCGGCCGTGGCCTCCTGCTCTGGGGCTGTTGATTATCTACGCGTGACCGGTAGACAGTGACTCCAAGGAAGCACTTCCACCAGCTTCAGGACCGCGGTGCCGGGGAGTTTCCCTTCCCTGAGATTTTTAAGAAGCCGCTAAGTATACTTTTCCTTGTTCTTCTGGGTAGATTTACATTCCTGCAGCCTTTACCATATGCCTGGTAATATGCGTGTGTGCAAATGTTTGATTTAATTCTGAATGTTTTGCAACACACAGTGTTGGCCCATAATACACAAAGTGGAAACCACCTTCAGGCTGAGTCTTTTTCAACCTGGTGGCTAGATGGAAACTGTTAAAGGCAATTTTTAAGTATCAAGTTCAAATTTTGTCTCAGAGCAGCTAAATATCCCCAAATTGCATATTGTGCAATTCTGTGGGCCTCGGACAGCAGGGGTAATCTTGGTTCTTCACTTACAATCCCCACTGCTTCTCTTCCTTACCATCTCATCCCAAAGGGTGTCTGGGTTTTTCTTTTTGAACAGTGTCAAGTTCTAGAATTTTCTGCTATTACAAACTATCGCTTCTGTCCTTAACTGTTTATTGGAGGTTCTTAGACACAGGACAATGTATGGCCCAGGAAGAGATAACGCAAAGAGGAGTATCTGGAAAAAAGAGTATCTTACAACGTCAGGTGTAATTGTGTTATCATCTGAAAATGAAGCCAACAATTCTGTCTGCATTCCCTCCCCCCCTTAAATTTAAGTAGAAAAATGGGATTTTTATTATTGGTTTTCTACTGAGCTAACTGTACTGAGCAGTATGATTGAAGCCAAGGATAGTTAAGTGTCTCAGTCATTCTTTATAAGGAAGCAAGGTGCTTCAGAATGCTTTCTGTTTTATAAAGTATGATTAATCACTATCTTTCTCTCTGGTGGCCAGCTGGTGAGGAGCTGCTCTGTTAACCCAAAGGCAAGTGTTCAAATCCACCGGCTGCCCCATGGAAGAAAGATGGGCAACCTCCTCTGGTGAGATTTACAGAATCTGAAAACCAACTGGAGGGTCAGCTATGAGTGGTTCTGACTCGACAGTACGTAATGCCACCACCACCTTTGCTTTTCAACCTCTGAGCCAAGGAAGGCTTTGGAAATGTCAAGTTGAAGTTCTACAGTTGAGTATTATGGATTAAAAAATGCTTTACCTCGAACTGAAAACAAACAAAAACCAAACCACCCCACATAGAAACCAAGGAGGTTTGGACATAGCATAGCAAAACAAAGCCCAGTGTTACTGCCTTCTGAGACTCAAAGGCCCTGAACGCAGGACAGCAAAACTAAGGAGCTGCTGGCTCCTTCCAGTTCATTCCAGAGATCCCAGGAGAAGACTTTAACATTTTACATTTCATCTCTGCTGCTGCAAAAAACTTAAGGCTCATCTGTAGAGGAGATGCTAAATGCTCCTTCCTCCCCTGAAAAGGAGACACTGGCTATGCTCACATGCAGCGGGAACTTTTCAAACACTGACTGGAACCACTTCTTCCAGCCTTTAGCTCGATCTGCTTAAACCAGTTAACGGATAATTAATAGCAGCCTGCTTCTTGGGTTTTGACTAGACTGCCAGAATCCGAGTCAGGCGCCTTCCAACTTGCTTTTCTCAAAATGGGCTTTCAATACCTCGCCTTACAAAGATTAGGGTGTTAATTAAACTTTCTTGGCAAGTAATTGCATGTTAAATTTGTTAAGGTGTTGTTTCTTAAGATCTTTTGATTCTCGATATAAATGTAAAATTAAGGTTACTACAAAACCGTTACTCTCTTTCTTTATGGCATAGAATTAATTTCTTTAGTGAGAATCTAAAAAATAAAGTCTAGCTTGACAATCAGAATAACATTAGAACTAAGGGGAAAAAAATTCTCTTATTCTTGCATTACCATTTTTGTATTCTGTCACATGGAAACCAGAACTTAATTTTGGGATGACTGTACCATGCAGGACACAATCCCCGAATCTGCTGTCTGTAGACAGAACTTGGTCTAAAGGAGCCTCTGGAGTCAGACGCACAGACACGCTGACTTTTTTTGTCACTTCAGACAAATGGACTGAAACAACACTGGGTTGGTGTATTGCTCTACTGTGTCCAGACTGTGATAATGATCTTTCCAACTAGCGAGTTCTGCAATCAGATGTTTTAGCTTGAACTGCCCATGGAAAGATCTGGAGGCCAGCCCTGGGTTTTCCCTTGGGCCTGCTGTTAGGTCCTGTGTAAGTGGAGGAGAGGCCTCAGAACAGAAGCCACTCACGTGAGGCTGTAGGGGCTGGAGGGGGCCTCTGTCCACCCCCAGAAGTCACCCCTCTATGCTGCATGCAAACAATACTTTACCACTGTTATTACTCTCAATAACGAACACCCCTCCCCACCCCCGACAGAGCGAAGGAAAAGTCTTATCAAAGCATCCACCAAAGAAACATTAAAGTAGAATTCATTAATTATCAGAAATAAGAGGGGGGAAAAAATTAAAAGAGAATCCCCCAGAAACAAACAGAGAACTCGAGCCACTTACAGGGCTGGATGGCGTCTTTGGCCAGCTCGGGCTGCTAATGCTGTCACTCTCATCTCCGTGAAACGAGGAGATGCTGGCCGAGCTGGGGGACATGGGTGAAGGGACTGGCAGGTTGCCTGGGGTTGGGGGCTGAGAGATACCCTGAGAGCTGTAGCTATCCTATGGGAGATAAAAAAAAAAGTAAAAAAAAATGACAAAGGTATGGCAAACTTAATTTAAAATAACAAAAAGCATATCCAGTTTAGCAGACTAATTATATATATATATATATACTAGCTACATATTATATATATAATAGATATATAAATGCTATATAGATGTTATATATGTTGTTGTTGTTATGTGCCGTCGAGTCGCTTGCGACTCATAGCGACCCTATGTACAACAGCTCTAAACTCCGCTCTGTCCTGTGCCAATCGCACTGTCTCTGACACACCCATCCCAATTATCCCAGTCACTGAATCAATCCACCTCATAGAGGGCCTTCCTCTCCTGCGCTGTCCCTCCACCCTCCCAAGCATGATGTCCCTCTCTAAGGACCAGTCTCTCCTCACAACATGTCCAAAGTAAGTTAGACGGAGCCTCAGAATCCTTGCCTCCAAGGAGCCACCCGGTTTAACCCTCTCCAGGACAAATCTATTTGTTTTCCTAGCAGTCCATGGTATTTTCAATACTCTTCTCCAGCACCACAGCTCAAAGGCATCAATTCTCCTTCTATCCTCCTTGGTCACTGTCCAACTCTCTGTTGCATAACAATGATAGCAAAGACCACGGCCTGTATCAGATGCACCTTACTCTCCAAGGAGATACCATTGCTCTTCAGCATCTATCTATATAGCATTTATATATATGTATATATGTATTTGTATTATATACATTTATAACACACACATACCTATATATTTACACACACACACACCACACACTTGTAGAGAGGTATTAACACAACAGTCTTCACTAGTACCACGTGGCCAGTGTACTGAGTGTGGGGGAGGCATGAACCCACCGTGCTGGTGGCAAGCAGACGTGGGGACCTAAGCATGGGTCACCACCCTTGTGAAGGGAAGGGGTAAAAAGAAACAAAGGCAAAAAGCCCCCCACCTTATTTATCAAATAAAGCAGGAAAACAAAATAGGAATTAGGTTGTTGCTTAGGCAGCCACAGCAGAAAGCTATCAACTGAGGCAGAGAACCGCTGACCTCTTCCCCACCTCCACAGTCGGGCCTCGCCCCACACCCGCCCTCCCTCCATGACTTTCAGCTCCATCGGGAGGGATGGGAAGGGCACCGCGGACGCACACACAGGCTGGAGGCATGCAGGACACCAGGACAAGGGGACACGTGAAGGCCACACACGCGGCGACAGCGACATGGCAGCGATGGTGGAGGCCTGACTCCACGTGCAGGGGGAAGTACCTTGGACTTGCTCTCAGACTGCGGGGGACCTTCTTCTTTGCTGTCCGTTTTGAGGGGCAATTTGGACTCCCCAGGAGACATCATATCTGCAAGACCCATAGATGCTAATCGGAAAACAAGAAAAAAAAAGTGAGGATTATCCTTGTGCTCCGTGAGGGCTGTCCACCAACACATGCCGCTGTGGGCAGTCGCAGGGCATGGCCGTGGCCCCGGCAGGAAGAGGCGGCAGCAGGAGACCATAACCGAGCGTCTCATTCCTGAAATCCACGCAGTTCCACGCTCTCTGCCTGTCCTTTTCATCTTAAAAGAATGAATCCTCTTATGTCCCAGACCCCAAACCCTGAACCATCGGTACACTAACGCTGGCTTTTCAAAGTTCTGACAGCTGTAGGGAGAGCAGATGATAAACAGAAACATAGCACATGTCTAAACTGCTCATCAGGTGTTGAAATGCTTGAGAATGGGAGTGGTTTTATTTTATTTTATTTTAAACATCTGAGGACAAGAAGATTTAAGTGCCTTCTTCACTTCCGAAATCCCTATAATTGCTAATTCACAAAGTCCTCTGACATTTTATACTGTTTCGTTCAAAAACCTTACTTATCACATTCATTGTCGTCTTGGATAAGGAAAGACACTAAATAGGGTAGATGATTTCAAGTCAGTCATTGAGAGGGCTTTGTGCTGGGGCTGGAGCCCAGGCCGCTGCCCCCTCCTGTGACCGCACCCTTCAATCCAGCCTGAGAGGCAGCAACTCCTTCCAGGAAGAATCTGTGCTCTATCTCAAGGTTCTGAAGCCGGTTGACACCATCTGGGCCTCACGAGTAAAGATGGAATCAACTGGCTTCTGAGCGTGGAGACAGAGCACAAAGGCCATCATGAGTTTGCGAGCTGCAAATACAAATGAACATTCATAGGTTCAGATTTCTCCCACCCCACTCCCAAAAGAACAAGGTGACAGGTGGAGACAGTGTAGAGATGTGGAGACCTGTCACAGGATTTTGGAAGAAGCCCACCTGGGAGACCCCCTCAAAGCATGGACTGCTTGGTCTGCACAAGAGGACCAGGGCAACGGAGGGGTGGATGGGGTGACGGGAAAGCCGAGACCAGCACCACGTTAGTGGTGAACGGACACTGGGAAATGATCCTATTTCAAAGCAGAGCAAACTGGGCCCTTGCATGCCCTGCGGATGGCGGTGCTGGCTCACGGCACTGTACACAGCAACACCCTAGTGCTGGGGTTGGGGCCTTAGAGAAGCCCCCGCTGACTGTCCACTACAACATTGTTGCACATATCCATCCGCGTATTCCTGTGTTCTGAAAAGTAATCAGCACTCATTTCAGCGGGGGGAAAGCGAGCAGGCCCTGTGCACAGGCCAGCAGGGGCTATGGCCTCATCTGCTGGTGTCTTGGAGGCTGAGGCCACAGGTCCTGCCAGGAAAGCCCCCACCGGCCATGTGCCAGCTCCCAAGGCTGCATTGGCGCGTCCCTGTGGGCACGTTCGGTCCTCAAGAGTCATCACCACATGCACACATCATAACTGAGATGTTCCCCCCTGGACCCCAAAATGACTTCCAATACACCGACTTGAAGGACTGGAACAAAAAAGCTTTTTTCAAGCGAGGCAGCTGTAGAGAAGAATCTATTGGGATCAGCTGAAAATGCTGTTATTCCTGTGAATGTGTGAAACCTCAAAAAAATAAAAGCAGCTGAGCTCTATTACACCAAGAAGCCCGACCGGCTTCCGCGTGGTGCTATCTTGGGGGCCGAGGGAGACGTGGTTTAGTAAATCCACCCACCAAGAAGCAATCCTTCCAAACCAACAGAGAGGGGGTATACGGCAGAACAAGTGTGAGAACGAGGCTGGCGGGTGGAATTTGAGTCTTTGCTGGTTCTTCACAGAGCAGATCTGGGGGAAAGGCTCCCAAGAGGATTTCACAGAGAGAGGTAAAGCCATGGCCACGTGACTGACGCAAAGTCCTGCTTCTCCAAAGGTGGGGGAGGTTTGTCATGTGCACTGAGACAAACTATCAAGACTGACCCTCCAGTGGGTTTTCAGAGGTGGTAAAATCACACAGGAGGGGATGGCCCACCTTTCTCCCCTGAAGCAGCAGGTGGATTCGAGCCACTCACTTTTGGGTTGGCAGCACAACTCCTTACCCACCATGCTGCTAGGGTTCCCTTAGAGTCCTGATGGCCTGCCCAGGTATCCAGGTGTTGTGACGACGGACACATGGCCACTTCTCAGAGATCAGAGGACAAAGGCCCTCCACAGGGTTTTCAACAGCTGGGAAATTCTATATGGCCCTGCTAGTCCTCTGTTTGGAACATACCCCAAGAAACTGAGGCTCAGACGGAGACTTGCATGCCAATGTTCACAGCAGTGTTACCGACCATCGCAAGAACATGGAAACAGCCCAAATGTCCAACCACAATGGAATGCATTGAGAAACTGTGGTACATTCACATGAACTGCCAACCTTCCAGGAAGGAGCTGAGCATTTAGTCAGGCACACGGCTTGCTCCTCCTAATTCTGCCAGTATTGATAAGTTATAAACATAATAGAACTATTAATTCAGAAAACATAAATAATAATAACATACTACTTCACATATGACACGTCTTAATGAAGACAAAATCTGTTTTAAACCATAAAGACCAATATCTATTAAGGCAGGCAGTGATAATAATTTACTTTGATTTAAAAATTTCACAGTGATTAACAGAAACATCTGTGTGGGTTTGAAATTCCTCCAAATGGTTCCATTCTCTATTAGGCATTTATTTGCGTTGGGCGAGCACATATGAGAACTGTCAGTGGCTGACCGCTTTATCTGGGGAGAGAACAGAATCCAGAGGAACCTTTTCTTTTGGAGTCTCTGCCTGCCAACGGATGCTATTTCCCTAAGTGGATCTTAAGGTCTGTCCTAGTCCGTGGCTGCTGGCGCTCCCTTTGTTCAAATGCTTTCTTTAGCTGTCTTCCCAGAATGCTCAATGAGATTCTGCAAAGAGCTGAGGGCCTCGGGGCAACGGGACTCCAGGGGGCAATTTCTCTCTTTTTCCCAGCAGAGAAAGGCCACCTTGACTAAGTCAAACCAAGGCTCTTTCTCTGCTGACATCCCACCTGTAAAGTCAGACATAAAATAGGCACTAAAGACCCCTGACAGCAGGGACTTGTGAACGGGTCCTGGAGATGCACCTCAAGTGCCAACCACTGCCTTGCCCGCTGAGTGAAGAGCCAGAGGATTTCCAACACCAAAGCGTGTCACGGTCCCAAGGGCGTGGGTGCACACAAGAATCCACACATCTGGGAGGACACAGCCTGCAGCAAGGGGTGCAGCTGGGCTCTGGGCTGGTTTGCAGACAGGTGCACACATCTGGTGATGCAAACAACTCCTTCTAAGAGCAGCAAACATAGTCTGCCGTCAGTGTAGGATTCACAAGGCTAGGAGTGACACACAGAGTGTGTTCCTTCCTCGGCTCAACAGGCCCTGAAACTCTTTCTCTTGGGCTTGGATCAGGCGGCAACCAGGTTCTAAAATGCTCAGCCATGGTCAAAATCAAGGTTCGGGACCTTCGCGCCAAGGAGGAGCAGCTGCTGAAACAGCTGGAAGATCTGAAAGTGGAGCTTTCTCAGCTGTGTGTCGCCAAAGTGACAGGCGGTGTGGCTTCTAAACTCTCCAAAATCTGAGTGGTCCGAAAATCCACTGCCCGTGTTCTCACTGTTATTAACCAGACTCAGAAGAACCTCAGAAAATACTACAAGGGCAAGAAGTATGAACCCCTGGATCTGTGGCCCAAGAAAACACGTGCCATGAGCTGGATGCTCAACAAGTACGAGGAGAACCTGAAGACCAAGAAGCAGCAGTGAAAAGAGTGCCTGTGCCCACTGCGGAAACACGCAGTCAAGGCCTGAACTTCTTATATAAATAAAACCCAAAACTGAAAAAAAAAAAAAAAGGCCCTGAAGTGTCTCCTGCATGAGCCCATGCCAACTGGCCCGGCCCTGCATAGCCTGGGGAGGGGTGTGGAGCACCGTCAGAGCCCATAATTCCCATAGCTCCCTGTTAATGCAGTGCTGCATCAAGACAGCTTCCAGGAATGGACTGGGGCTTCCAGACAGGCTCCCTTCTCCAGTGTGAGGTGCTGATATGCTCACAGGGTCCGAGGGGACTGCCTTTCATCGTCTCCTCGGGGAGGGAGGGCCTCTAGGTGGAGTGAACAACTTCCCTGCAACCACTCACTTAAAGCAAGAGTCTAAACAGAGAACACAACCCAAACCCAAACCAAAATCCCAGCCACTTTCTGGCGGACTCATTTCTAGAAGCTTTCTGAAGTTCCAACTGTGCATAAGGGAGCTCTGGTGGCCACCTGGGTCAGGCGGGGTGCTGCCAGCCCAAAGGTCAGCAGTTTGACTCCGTGGGCAAAGGATGGACAATCTCCTTCCGTGCCATTTACAGCCTCTGACAACCTGCTGGAGGGTCAGTGGGTCCCAACTTGATGGGCCATAACAAAGCTGGGTGGGAGGAGGCTGCCCACCTTCATCCTCGAAGTGGAGTCCACACTCTGACCTTTCGGTCATCAGCTTGTCATGTAATCACACGACACCAGCAGGGCTTCTGAACCACCTTCAGAAAGCACTTAGCCAGGCCCTGGGGGTGCTGTGAGAACCTCAGACTTCCTTCGCGTAAGACCCTGTCCATCAAGGCTTCTCCCCACCAAAATTCCCACTAAATGGGGGAGGGGAAGAAAAAGGAGTAAGTTGGTAAAAGCAATTGACATACCTAACAGCCAGCAGGTGTGCAGGAGACTGGTGTGACAATGAGTGCTCCTCTGTGGCACACACACAGACACACACACACACAACACCAGTTCTCCTCTGTGGTCCTCAAACACACACACAGACACACACACACACGCGCGCGTGACAACAACCAGTTCTCCTCTGTGATCCTCAAACACACACGACAACCAGCGCTCCTCTGTGGTCCTCAAAACCCCTGTGCACACAGAACTGTGGCCGGAGTTGTTTGCTAAAGACTCAGGTACCCGCTCAGTAATCTGACCGGAGGCCGGGGATCCGGGTCGTAACCAGCATTCTAG